GAGCTAAAAATCTCTATCACAGTTTATAAAAATAAGATATTGGCTCAGTGGTTTGTGAAATTTTCCTTTGACCAGTGCTTGCTCAATTGACCAGTTTATTTTTATTATTGTAGGGCCTATATCCAGCCACAAGGGTATCTTATTGTAACAAACTAAATTTTGCCCTTAAGATACCCCTATCGTGTGATAATAGATACTGGTTTTTATCCTGTGGGGAGCCCCTCGGTTAGCAATTTTATCTACCTGAGAGCTCGTGTTCGGGTAGTACCTGGGAAGTAACAGCCACGATTAGACCTGTTTGGCTTGTTCTGAAGTAGCCGGGGCGGGTGCTCAAAAGTACATCAGGTATTTACGGGATTGAAAATGTAATTTGTAAAATATGTTTATATAGTTAGAATCTATACATTAAGTATGGTTGTTTTTTTTACTATTTTTCCCCAGGGTCCTATTTCCTCGGGCTTTTGTCCCGTTTCTAAAATGACACAGGTCTTGGGCGGGGTACTTAAATTCCATTGATACAATAGACAGTCCAGGGCAAGAGGGAGAGTCTTTGTTATGCATTTACAACAGCACATGTGAGAGAGAGTCAGATACGGCAGCCCTGACGGACAACTCGGGACCAGCATTTATAAAGTTATGTGTTCAAAAGAATTCCACTCTTTGAAAATTATATTGATTAAACCAAAAGACAATCCACACAGCATTATGAAAGTTTAGGAAACAGTGATTTATGTGTTATTTGTGAATTTATATTCAATGTTTCATTTGTGAAAATTACGTATGAGGAAATTCAACACCAAAATTCTGAAAATGTTAAGCAGAGGTGCTGTGATTAGTTAACCCTACTTTCCAGGACACTTCCTAGGACGGTCTGCAGATAGACATTTCATTTCTATTATTTTTAATTATTTTGTTGTAAAAAGTTATTTTTGTTTTGTTTATTAAATTTTGCATTATGAAAGTTTAGGAAACAGTGATTTATGTGTTATTTGTGAATTTATATTCAATGTTTCATTTGTGAAAATTATGTATGAGGAAATTCAACACCAAAATTCTGAAAATGTTAAGCAGAGGTGCTGTGATTAGTTAACCCTACTTTCCAGGACACTTCCTAGGACGGTCTGCAGATAGACATTTCATTTCTATTATTTTTAATTATTTTGTTGTAAAAAGTTATTTTTGTTTTGTTTATTAAATTTTGTTAAAATTTCAGTTTGTTGTTTCCTTGATTTATTTGGGTTCTAAAGGTGTATAACTCACATCTCAACACTTATCCATCCTGTTCTCTATTACACATGATAAATACACAAGGCCAAGCTTAAAAAATTCTTTGTTTGCAGTTGCTGACCTATAATTTTTAGAGTGGGTAGGTAGGTAGGTATTCTTTTTTCTCTTTTTTTTTTTTTTGAAAAAAAAATCTAAGTTTTCAGATTTTTCTTAGATAACAAATAATAGAGCTTTTCATAGGCCCACTAAACATAATTCCATGAATAATCCCCACTCTTATTATAAACCACAGCTTGATTAAAACAAAAATCAAAAATTAAAAATGAAACAGTTTCAATATCCTGAAAATTAAAAAAAAATATTACAAAAGGCTAAAAAAAGTTTGGATCAGATGCATTTTCAGTGGGGCGGTAGGCAACTGCAAACAAACAAATTTTTATTTTAGGCCCAAGGGAAGAATCAAAAGTACAACACGATTTGTGAACAGTCAGAAACACCTTACTTGAGAAAAGTTACACAAATCCTCAAATGAACTAGTGGAAATAATATCCTAGAACTTATTGAGGCTAAAATATTCTTAATATATTCGCTTGTTGTGAATTTGTTGTCAGATGGCATGAGTTTATTGGTCTGTAGAGACAACTGTAAACGGTTAGGATGTGGATAAAATATACAGGTTGGTAATATAGAATATGTCTAGAATTAGGGGATGAAAGGTAGTTGATTGACCACTGCTGGAAAAATCTCGCACCATAAATTGCACTTTATTTACATTATGGAATCTGTAGTGTTACGGTCAAAGACTAAAACATAAAACCGTAACGCTACAGTTCTGCAGCTAAATTTATTGCACCATTTTTGATTTTAAAATTTGAACAATTATATTAATATAGATTTCATTAAAAAGAAAAAATACTTGAGTTGTCAAGTTATAATTTCCTGGCCTAGGAATTCAAAATATGCCCTTGGGAAATAGTTCTTGGCATGGGTTTGATAAAAGCTATCCCACTCAAAACCTGTGGTTAGGTGTTTATTAATATAAACTGTTTGCAATTGTTTCTGAAATTTTGACTTGCACTTGGTCAACTGGGCCACTGAAAGTCATCACTTGACCAGTAATTTTTTGCACTTTTTTTTTTATCATTCCCCTTTGTACAATGCTTGGTTGAAATCAGAGCACTATTTTTTTTTTTAGAAAGTCATTAAAATGTGGAAAATAATGTAAAATACAGGCAGGGAGACTTACAAAGCAAGTGATTACTTGGAAGAAACTTAAAAGTTGAAATGGCAAGGTGACAAGTGACTCAACATAAAACTTGGTAACCTAAATAATTTTGCACAGGGAATCACACAGCCAACTAATCTTAGCAGGCTAGTTATTTTTTTAGCAATAAAGCCATTTTCTCCAAGATAAACTACAGAGCTACCAGACTTCATTAACTTACTTAACATTTTACAGATGCATGGCTAGAAATGCAGCCCCTAAAAATTTTATTTTTTCAACCATCCAGTTTGAAGTTTGCCGTCAACATTATATGTTTGAATGTTAGTTGACAAGTATACAGGACTGAGTACACAATGTGTGCAAAATCTACATTTACTGGCCATAATTTCTTTTGCCCTGAGTGAGCTGCATATTTAAAACAACTTAGCTGACCTGGACTCATTCCTCCACAATGTACCTCCTATTTTTTTAAGGTACCACCTATTTCTACTCTTTTTAAAAGCCCTGAATGGGAATGTTAAACAGATTCCCCTAATATATTTCAGAAAATAAATAATTTCATGAGTTAAAGATTCTAACGTTGTCAGTCAGTCACATATATAAATCTAAGTAAATAAGGTATATTTTTCAAATATTTATCAGGATCAAGATTCAGGTTGGCACATGATCAAATTTAACATACAGGACCTTAAGGAACTTTTTTCCATGCATTACAATTACCCAGGTAGATTTTAATCAATTAAATATAGTTGTTATAAAACTGCTGGACAATAAAAGATTAAAAAAGATAAATAATTTATTAACGATTTCAGTTCATTTGTACAGATCAAAGCTTGTTCACAAAGAGAGATTACTTTTCTCACATGTATCTGATTTAACATGAAGGAGTGAAGACACATGTCCTGCCATCGTAATACTGATATCCATTATTATCCATCAATGTTGACTCTTATACTCAAACTGCTTTTTTTCCAAAAGAGAATAAACAGATAGTTCACTATTAATTAAATGAAAATAATGATATGAATTATTCTGCTGGTGTTTCTTCTTTTGGAGCATCAGCTGTCTCTTGATTTCCCCCCTCTTCTCCCCCAGCCGTGGTTTCCTCCCCTCCCTCTGGGGCTGTTTCTTGAGCTGGTTCTTCTTCTTTCTTTTCCTCGGTCTCCCCACCTTCTGGTTTCTCTTCCTTCTTTTCTTCAGTTGTCTCCCCTTGTGATTCTGCAGGCTGTTCAGATGTTTGTTCTTGGTTTTCTTTTTCAACTGCAGCTTCTGTGTATTTAAAATATTTAATATATCATAATGAAATAGTGTGGTTTAATCATTCAGAACTTACGAAACTTCAAAATTTTGCACAACTTTGACAATAAATGTTTATAACTTGATTTACAATCATGATGTCATTAATACTTGCCTTCTGCCTGTTCTTTGGCCTCTTCCTCCATGTCCTCCTCTGTTTTCAGATGAATAGCTGTAACTTGGCCAGCCTTCCATTTTGGGATTATATTCGCTGAAGGTTCTTCATCATCCAGCTTGTCCTCCTTCTCCTGCTCAATAGGAATGTATTCTCCATGCTGCTCACATCCAATATCAAAGACATATTTTCCTTTTCCCATTGGCTTATCTTCTTTGAACACGCCAACATATTTATGGTTTGCATGAATCAGTTCGCCATGTCCTTCCCTTTTCCCAATTTGCCACCTGCCTACATACTTTGTGCCAGTTGCAGCATATGTGTATGTACCTTGACCATGTCGCTGGTGATCTTTCCATTCTCCCTCATATGTATCACCATTAACATAGGAGTATTTTCCAAAGCCACACCTCTGATCATCTACCCAGCTTCCTTCATATTTTGAACCATCTGGATATATGAATGTTCCTTGACCATGTTTTCTGTTTTTTAAATATTCTCCAATGTATCTTGCTCCATTTTTGAATCTATAAACACCTTGGCCATGTCGTTTTCCACAGTCATACATTCCCTCGTATGTGTCCTGATTTGGTAATGTTGCTTTTCCATGTCCATGCCGTTCTTCGTTTTCATTTCGTCCTCCTTCATATTCTCCAAGGTATGGACCCTGATCCTCCTCACCCTCTTCAGACCCAAAATCAGACATCTTCTCTCTTTGTGTATGTTATTCACAGTAACCCAAACACGGCTAACCTCGCGACTCTATGGCGGATCTTGTAAACAATGGTTACCAAGATCAATCTCGCGTGCGCGAACACGTCACAAGAACGGTAACTCTTCAGAGTGATTGGTCCTGCAGACTGCGAGACTATTTTTTTTCCTTTTATAAAACGATTTAATTAGAGCAATTAGTATCGTTAATGAATTATATTGCTTTTCCAATATAATTTTTAATCTTTTAATGACTTTCTGCGTGTTCGTCCCCCATAAAGCAAGGTAATTTTTTCCAATAGTTAAACATAAACCTCAAAATATGTAACAACTATAAAAAAAAAAAGTGACATCTGCAGTTGAAAAAAACGGAAACATGAAGACATATTTAACAATTTTATAATCCGTTTGCTTGTTTGTACTCACGTTATGGATTTTTGCATTGTTTTTGCTGCTATTTCCCGCCAAAAGCTTTCTTACCTTTTTGACGTTAAAGATTTATTGGTTAATTCATTCCTTATGTAAGTTGTTTCTTATCTTGAAATCCTCAACTGCTCAAAACTATACATAAAATCAATTCGACTCGAATAAGTTTAGCCATTTTGATGGAACAAAATTTTACTTCACGAGGATATGCATATACCCCCCTTCCCATGAGGTAAACTTCTAAAGAAAACACGAAACAAATTCATTTGAATGTAAGCATCGTATTGATAATTTAAATGAAAAGATATATACTCTTCTCCAACGAGCACAATTAAATGAAAAAATTAGCCCACATAGATTTGCCCCCCTTCCCGGTCACCAAAGTGATGAGTCAGGCATGTAGTATCCGGCCGAGGTGGGGTGGGGGGTAACCCCCCCCCCCATTTTTATAATATTATGGTGATGTCAATAAATTGAATTGAAATATGACCTTTTACTGTTGAAAATGTTTATTGAAAGACTGGTCCACCCCGCCTTTTTGCAGTGTAGTCAACTGCTGATCAAATCATGGTAATCATGCAGGTCATAATGTGCTAATGTATGCCGGACTAACATTAAATTTTGGTTGGGAAAGAACTGAAGTTAGAAAGCTCACCCCCCCCCCCTTTCAAGAAATAAGATTTTCGAGTTTGGACAATTCTTTTTTTTTTCAGGTAAGATAACAATTTTTTCTGATATATTACGCGCCTGATGATCTTGAGAGCCCAAGATATTGACGATTTCTTGTGAAGTTGGATCATCTTTAGGTACTTTTAAGTTATTAAAAGTTAAAAGAAAATGAGTTTGTATAAGATATGTTCAGTATATAGTGCCTTTATGCGTGTGAAAATAAAGAAATAAATATTTTTTTAAAACTATAAAAAGTTACAAGCTATCACTAAATATTTTTAATTATCATTTTCTTTAACACTTTCTGATCAAATAAATTTACTTTCTTATAAAATGAATTAACAACTTTGTTAGTGTTCTGTCATCTGAAAATATCAATACAACATAAATACGCTTGTAAGAGTCTAATAATGATGAGTTCCAATACAATCAAAACGAATAAAATAAGGAACGATTTAGCAAAATCAGACGTCATTTGTCATAATTTGGAAACGTCACATCCGTAAAATTAGAAATATTGGTCAGAGGACAGTGAGTGAGTGACAGTTTGTGTGCAGTGATATCTCTAAAATTATTTTGGCAATGAAACCATAAACGCATATTGGGATTTTGAAGAGGTTTGTATGTAATGATGATGAAAACGAATCGGATAGTGGTTATTCATCTGTAGAAGGAATTTAGTGTGTTAAATCTGTCCTGATGAGCTGTCATACATCTATAAACTTTGTATTTACTTGCTCATTTCTGCCATACCTTGAGATATGTTATTAAAATTATACAATTGTCATGGTAACTATATGTGTGGAATTGTGTATCAATGAACAATTACGTCATAGTGGTATACAGCTGGTATACACCACTGTTTACTTGCATATACTGATATAGATCTTTGCACTGTTTCAGCAGGTTTGGGACAATTGAATACCCTTTTTATAGCAAGGATATATTGTTATAGCATGAACTTATACACATCCTAAGCAGGGTACATATAAAGCATCCTATGTAGCATGATATTAGTGAGGGTTTTTTGTGCTTTACTGGATACAACATAAAAAAACCCGGAAAATATAATAGAGTTGAATGATTAATATATTATGAATAAGAATGTTTTTCATAAATGATACCTGATAATTCAAATCTATGGGAATTCTTCATACATATTTTTTTTCAGGGTGGGGGTGGGGAGGGGGGGGGTCAATAAATAAATTGACAATGATTTTGAAATGAACACACTCTTTGTTTCTCAACAGAACACTTTCATAGCAATGCGTTAAAATTATGTGATGCACAAACCAGAAAATAAAGTGTTTGAATTTTTGATTTCATAGCAAAATAAAAATGCCATTTCTATTTTGCCCATGTAAGATTTTTTTTGTAAAGTAAAAATGAAGAAATTGGAATGATTTCTGTTATGAATAGTATGTTAATAAATTACATGCATCATCATGATGATTATATGTTTGAATGCAAAATAAATATAAAAAAGTGAAGTTTCTCAACAGAATAATATCTGAGTTAACATATTCCAAATGCATTTATCAGCACAGAAATGTTTTGTATATAATGCCATTTCTAGTGTCCTTGTGTATTTGTTTTTAATTAATCATGTTAATGGTGTTTGCATTATGGTCAAGGTGACATTTCTCAAAAATGAGACCAGTATAAGTTTATTGAATAGAGCCAGGAATTTATCAAAATATACAACTATACTTGAAAACAAAAAGACCTTCATTTCCCATGTCCCCCACCTCTTTTCTGTATGCATGAAGATTAGCAATTATTACAGCAGTAATTATTTCATTTCATTTCTACTCTGCAATGTAAATAATAAGATATTGTCCAAGGTGCTGAAAAATTTTCTAGGATTTATTTACTGTAAAGGAATGCTTTAGAGAGATGATCTTACTCTAAGGAAATCAAGCTCATCCTGAATAATAGGGAAGGACCCCTTCATTAACTTACAGTTGTTTTCATGAGTTCATTTTCTCTGATCAATTTATGAACTATAGACATTTTGACCCTTAATGCAAGTCACCAAAGGTGATATTCATGTCTGAAGATTTGTATAGTTTTTCAGGAAATCAATATTATAATATTAGAAAGTCAAACTATACCCCGTATTTTGTCAGCGAAGTTTGTAATTAGGTTACTGAAATTCTGACCTAGAACTTAGACCTTTTGGTTTGATTGACAACCTTGACATGAAATAAATAGTTGAAGTAAAAAATATATTTTTCATGTTGTAGATGAGCGATACAACTACATCCACTCCTTCAACATCAGCTACAATTAGTAGCACTACTAGTAATCATTCAGTTGTCAGTACTACTGTGCCATTCCTGTCATCTACCACCAACAGCTCTGATGATGTACATAATGGGACCCTGCCCCACATACCCCTCATCTTCCTACAAACTGCTGCAGCTCAGGGCATCGGTGGAGCTTTTGCATTCCTTGCACTTCTCATTACAGTTCATCAGGTATAAAATAATACTCTTTTTCATAATTAATCAGGTTAAATCATACAGTAACTCCTCATTTCAATTCCTCATCACAGTTCATCAGGTAAAATAATGCTCCTCATTACAATTCATCAGGTAAAATAGTACTCCTCATTACAGTTCATTGTGTAAAATAATACTCCTCATTACAGTTCATCAGGTAAAATGATACTCCTCATTACAGTTCATCAGGTAAAATAATACTCCTCATTACAGTTCATCAGGTAAAATAATACTCCTCATTACAGTTCATTGTGTAAAATAATACTCCTCATTACAGTTCATTGTGTAAAATAATACTCCTCATTACAGTTCATTGTGTAAAATAATACTCCTCATTACAGTTCATTGGGTAAAATTATACTCCTCATTATAGTTCATCAGGTAAAATAATACTCCTCATTACAGTTCATCAGGTAAAATAATACTCCTGAGTCCTCATTACAGTTCATTGGGTAAAATTATTCTCCTCATTACGGTAGGGGTGAAACGCTTCACCGCGGTATCGATTCACGACTGTATTTTTTCTCGGTTTGATACATGGTGCAAAATCTCCATTTTTGGTTTGTTTCATTTTTTGGTCAGGATCGTTATTCAGTCAGGTTTGGCATAGGTAAAACACGCTACTCAGCATAATTAAAATCTAAAAATGTAAATGTTTGAGGATAGTTTGTAAAATAATTTTTAACAGTAAATTCCTTGTTATCAGTGTCTTCTAGTCAATCTGCAAGTAGATTTAGTGACTGGGATTTAGTGAAACAAAACATAAAGCAACGTTTAATTTGCTTCCTGCTATCAAAATGTATCATATCGAAAAATAACTGTACTGTGACAAAATTATACGATACTTATCGTATCGTGAAGGAGGCGTATCATTTCACCCCTACATTACAGTTCATTGTGTAAAATAATACTCCTCATTACAGTTCATTGTGTAAAATAAGACTCCTCATCACAGTTCATCAGGTAAAATAACCTATCTTCATGAGTAATCAGATATGATAACAATGTCATCCACATCTCATCAGGTATGCTAATACTTCTCATTACAGTTAGTCATTGACCTTTGACCTACAACTCTGAAATTGGTTACCAATCCTTATTTCAATATTGATGCAAAAAAGCTGTAAAATGGATAAATTTCTAGACAAAGCTTTCTCTTGCTTCATGAAGCATTAACAAACCGTTTAGATAAAGATTTCATTCCTAAGAGGAATCATCCTGTTGAGAGCAATATGGTAAACTCTGAGATAATGATCTTGATTTAGTAATCCTTTTAATTCCATTTATCACAGACATAAAATTTAAATTGAAAACTTTCCCTTGGAGGAGATAATGTCAGAATACTAAGAATGATATACTGGATGAAGCATAAACTGAAATAATTATATCAATGTTGCTTATTTTTAAGTCTTTGTGGTCCAGTTGGAAATGAAAGTTATTGGGTCAACAGTATCAGATTTTTCTAAAGCACAATGTATACTAAATATGTACTGCCAGTGATGAAAATTAATTTCACCAAAAAAAAATCTTTTATTCATGCCTATTTGATAAGAAAAAAAATCATGCACTGTTAAAGAAACATAGAAATCTTTTTTTGTACATGTATGTAAGTGTGTTTGATGAAGAATATATATATATATACACATGTCATTCTGAAGGAACATGAAGATAAAGTGTGACAGTGACATTCTTGTTTAATTAACAAAGGAACAAAATGACAGCCTGGTCAAGTCTATAACAGAGTTATTGCTGATGTTATTGATTTCTATAGGAGTCAGGGCTATATTGATCAATGTGAGTGTAATCTCTACAGAAATACTACTCACTGTATAACCATGGCAACAATTACAGACTAATAACACTGCATGATAACAATGAAAGTTTGGAACACTGAAAGAATTTTTATAATCATGATAATCCTGTGTGATTTATTATACAGGCTGAATACAAAAGTATTTATCATTGTAAAGAAAACTTTTAACATCTAAAGCAATAATTCGGAATGTATTTTTATGTTTTTACTAGGGATGTCAATGAGTACCCGGTTAACCAGGTACTCGATCGAACGTCCGAGTATCGAATACTAAAATTGGTACTCAGTTATTCAGATGTGTATTTTTTCTTATTTTAAAGTACATATTTTTATCAAAAACTTATCAAAAAATAACTTAAATATGCATACGGGTAATTAGAGCGTCGCCATCTACACATGTAAACACCCGATATTGCCTGTGGGTGTGTATATACAGTAATTAGTGACCAATCACCTGGTACACAGCTGTTCTTACCTTCTGTGGAATCATTTAAATTCTTGGGAGTCAATGTTCGTGGGCAAGCAAAATTTTATTGGTTCGTGGGGATGTAATTTCGTGGGCAGCTTGTTTATTTGGTACATTTAATTAATCAGTACGTTGACAAAATAATTGTTCTTGAGGATGTAAATTCGTTGGTAAGGGTTACCCACGAAATCCACGAACATTGATCCCCCACGAACAATGATGATTCCACAGTATTGTGGTCCTTAATTTTTTGATGGCTTCAAATGATTGTTTTTCAGTGAACATCGTTTAATATGGTCTATTATTTTCAAATCATTTTTAAATTATTTAGTTAATATACGGCAGCGAAATTGGACATGCATAGAAATGCCACTACCCACTTCAAAATAAGTAAAGATTCAAAAAAATGTTTAAAGTCAGTTTCCACGGTAAGTGTAGTGTATACTGGGGAAACAACCAACATATGAAGAAATATTTGACTAGCGATCCAAACAATTATAAGATCCGTTCCTTCTCTTTCGCTAATCTAATCATCACAAACCTACGCAACAGATTGTCGTCCTTTTGATGAAATAGATCCTAAACAAGAACTGTAAACCATTTGTGATTTTTTATGTATTAATTGCATCATTTGTGTTTATTTTAATAAATAAATTTAGTACCAAAAATCATTTTCGTTGGACTCCATGTTTATATACATTCATCAAATGTGATAAAAACAGCTTTTGGGTTTAACAAATTAACAATTAAAAATGAACAAACTTGTATTTACATTTTTACCGAGTACCCAGGTACTCAATCAGAAAAACGTCCGAGTAACCGATTATCAAAAATTGACTGATTTGACATCCCTAGTTTTTACTACTCATTTTTTTATTTTATACACTTTTGTATCAATAATTCTTATGATTTTTTTTAAATGTGTGAGTTTGATCATCATTTGGTAGAAGAGTGTTTTCTACATGGTTCAAAAGTCCATATTCTCAAACTGCAGTGATTAATAACCATGGTTTCAGCGAATAAATCTATTATAGATAGTGGTGTATGTTTTGTTTACTGCGGTCTGTGACCCCGCTTGTTTAGGTCATTAATTGACAAAAGACTGTCATTACCTATAAACAGGCTATAAGATAGTACTATCAATAAAAATGATTATAACCTCGTCCTCTCATCTTACATTCTGCCTTTTTATTAAACAGAGGATGGTGGCTCAAGATGGATCTAAACTTTTGCTTTTACTATTTTGATGTTAATAAAATTTTTTTTTTTGAATTACCATGCATGTAAGAGAGTGTCAAGACTATATGTTTAGGATATCACTAGATTCTGGTCCTTACTAATGGAGTACATATATTTATAGCGAGAAAACATGTCCTTACATCACGGACATATTCTTCCAATAATAATGTTATTCGCAATTCTGCCTGCAGTGACAGTTTAACAGAATTGTGTTTGTAAAGGGATAACACATGCTAATTAGAGAAGCCTGATTTCATACCTAATTATATACAGTCAAGAGACAAATAGAGAATCTGTGTATATATTATACAGACTTTTAATACATATTAAACTAAGAAAGCTATTTATAATATAATAGTTATACAAAAAATATTTTTAGAAAAAGTTCAGTTCCATAAAAAAATTTTGCTTTCAAGGATAAGAGAAGTATATTTTCATGATAACCTGCAAATCATTAAAGAGGGCATCAGTTCATGCATTTCAGTCTAATAATCTATAAACATACACATAGTAATATATATTCTGATTTTGTGGCAGTGTTAAACAGTAAATTGACACTAGACCTGTTTTGTTTTTGCAGATTTATCTCCATCTCCGATATTATACCTGCCCAAATGAGCAGCGCTGGATTGTACGGATTCTCTTTATTGTTCCTATTTACTCATTTGATTCCTTCCTAAGCCTGATGTTCTTTAACAATGACAACTACTATGTGTACTTTGACAGTGTAAGAGATTGTTATGAGGGTGAGTGTGTTATGTTGAGAAAAATGAAACCAATAGGAAACACTAAAAGTATGTATATCTAAGTAGTGAGAAAAAGGAAACTGAAAATCAATACCTAACACATAATTTGTTGGTATATTAGAAGTCATGGCAACAAAAAATGGCACAATATTCCTCCTAAAAAATAATGCTTGATGTAATCAAATGTGCCTATAAATTTATGACCAATTATGTACTAGCAGTAATTAGAAGCTAAAAAGAGGCCATGCAGGAGTCACTGTTTAAAACATCGTAACTGGTGTGCATGGCATTATTGTCAAGAATAGGTTTGACAGAGGTAGTTTAGAATATGAATTCCAGCCTAAGTGCTAACAAGTTAAAGAGTGTGTATAAAAAGTTATACATTGTTTGTACATTTACCAGTAAAAACTTGAGCTTCTTTTGGTCAGGAAAAAAAAACATGAAAAATTATTTGAGCATCATAAAATATTGTTTATGTCTTTGAGTGTTTGGATAAAGATACCTTTAGCAGTTGACTTTTTCTTTCAGAGGGAGGTTCAGTTCTTCATATTATGCATTGTAGACCACAGGGGCATTTAAGAAATGAATTTTATTTTTAGCTCACCTGAGCTGAAAGCTCAAGTGAGCTTTTCTGATCACATTTTGTCTGTAGTCCGTCTGTCCGTCTGTCTGTAAACTTTTCACATTTTCAACTTCTTCTCAAGAACCACTGGGCCAATTTCAACCAAACTTGCCACAAAGCATCCTTGGGTGAAGGGGATTCAAGTTTGTTCAAATGAAGGGCCACGCCCTCTTTCAAGGGGAGATAATTAAGAATTAGTGAAAAATGAATAGTATCTTTTAAAAATCTTCTTCTCAAGAACCACAGGGCCAGGAAAGATGAAACTCATATGGAAGCATCCCCAGGTAGTGTAGATTCAAGTTTGTTCAAATCATGACCCCCGGGGGTAGGGCGGAGCCACAATGGAGGATCAAAGTTTTACATAGGAATATATAGGAAAAATCTTTAAAAATCTTCTTCTCAAGAACAGTAAAGCCATGAAGAGTCATATTTATATGGAAGCATCCTCAGGTAGTGTAGAATCAAGTTTGTTCAAATCATGACCCCCGGGGGTAGGGCGGGACCACAATGGAGGATCAAAGTTTTACATAGAAATATATAGGAAAAATCTTTAAAAATCTTCTTTTCAAGAACAGTAAAGCCTTGAAGAGTCATATTTATATGGAAGCATCCTCAGGAAGTGTAGATTCAATTTTGTTCAAATCATGACCCCCGGGGGTAGGGCGGGGCCACAATGGAGGATCAAAGTTTTACATAGAAATATATAGGAAAAAATCTTTAAAAATCTTCTTCTCAAGAACAGCAAAGCCATGATTGGTCATATTTATATGGAAGCATCCCCAGGTAGTATAGATTCAAGTTAACAAATCATGACCCCCGGGGGTAGGGCGGGGCCACAATGGAGGATCAAAGTTTTACATGGAAATATATAGGAAAAATCTTTAAAAATCTTCTTCTCAAGAACAGTAAAGCCATGAAGAGTCATATTTATATGTAAGCATCCTCAGGAAGTGTAGATTCAAGTTTGTTCAAATCATGACCCCCGGGGGTAGGGCGGGACTACAATGGAGGATCAAAGTTTTACATAGAAATATATAGGAAAAATCTTTAAAAATCTTCTTTTCAAGAACAGTAAAGCCATGAAGAGACATATTTATATGTAAGCATCCTCAGGAAGTGTAGATTCAATTTTGTTCAAATCATGACCCCCGGGGGTAGGGCGGGACCACAATGGAGGATCAAAGTTTTACATAGAAATATATAGGAAAAATCTTTAAAAATCTTCTTCTCAAGAACAGCAAAGCCATGATTGGTCATATTTATATGGAAGCATCCCCAGGTAGTGTAGATTCAAGTTTGTTCAAATCATGACCCCCGGGGGTAAGGCGGGGCCACAATGGAGGATCAAAGTTTTACATAGAAATATATAGGAAAAAAGTTTAAAAATCTTCTTCTCAAGAACAGTAAAGCCATGAAGAGTCATATCTATATGTAAGCATCCTCAGGTAGTGTAGATTCAAGTTTGTTCAAATCATGACCCCCAGGGTAGGGTGGGGCCCAATGGGGGATCGAAAGTTTTACATAAGAACATATAGAATAAAAATTTCTTCTCAAGAACAGAAAAGCTATGTTAGTCTTATTGATATGGAAGCATCCTCAGGTAATGTAGATTCAAGTTTGTTCAATTGATGACCCCAGAGATAGGGGGAGCTACAATGGGGGATCAAATTTTTACAAAGAAAGAAATGGGAAAATTCTTTTAAAATCTTCTCAAGGACAACAAATTCATTTGTTATATTGACATGGAAGCATCATCAGGTAGTTTAAAATTCAAGCCCCCCCCCCCCCCCCCCCCTGTTCATTACTGAACTGATTTGTGCCTTAGTCTAGCCAATGTGCTCAGGTGAGCGATGTTGCCCATGGGCCTCTTGTTTTTTATCATAATTCATGAGGATATGAACTAGTATGTAGATTATGTACCTTGTGAATTATCAAAAATTTTAATTTTTTAAAAATTCATATGTTATTATTCATCTGATGACTGGCCATAGATTATGTCATTCATTTATTATAGCTCTACTGGTCAGAGACCAGATGAGCTCATGTATTGGTAAGGTGTCCATCGTCTCTCTATCTGTCTGTGAACAATTTTTCAAAACACTATTCCTTCTACAGTTTTAGTCTGATTTCAGTAAAACTTAGTACACAAGTAGACTATACTAAGATACATAACTCTCAATATTGGTTTTTGATTGGGATAAACAATGTTGCCATGGGTACTAAAAATAGAAAATTCTTTGAAGTTCTTTCAAAAGGCTACTCTTCCTTTGGTTTTGGTCTGATTTCAACTCTTCTTGGTACACAAGTACATGTATACTAAGATACATATGTAATTCTAAAAAATTGGTTTTTGATTTTGTCACATTGTGTTGCCATGGTTACAAAAAATAGGAATTTCTGTGAAGTTCTTTAAAAACCATTCTTTTCCCACATTTTTGGTTAAATTTCAATACTTCTTGGTAAATCAGTAGATTTTGCGAAGATACGTGATTCTGTTTATTGGATTTTGAGTTCCAAGTGGTGATGACATGGTTACTAAAAATAGAAAGAACAAGGTACGGTTTCAATACAAATTTTGCCCTGTTTTTCTTAAGAATGAAAGTAATGTAAAAAATTAAAACTCATGATTTCTGAATCATTGAAATTACACGCAGAAAGATCATACAAATCATTTTTCTCACATGATCTTCTAAATGCTAATTGTGACGTCATAAACTTTTGCATTTTCCCGTATTTCCTTGAAAAGTTGCAGAAGACACCAATTTTCAATGGAATTTTCTCTCAGATGATTTTGTACACAGGCATCGCCCACAAAGATTTTGAGATATGTGATTTTTCAAAGAATTTTACACAACATATCCGAAAATAAAGGTGGGCGACGGCTGTGGACACTATTTTCTTAAGGAAAATAACCCTTGAAACGGGTCATTTTGAGGCTTTTTCTGTTTAAAATAGAGAAATGCATCAAATTAATGACGTCATATTTCCAGAATGGTACTCTTTCATGCTATATTTTTTCCTGATTTATCACTGTCATATACTCAACAAATGTTTAAGCCAGTTTCAAAACTTTTTGAAAGTATTGAATTTTTAGGGCACAATAAAGCTAAAACCATACCTTCTTCTTTCTGTGAAATTACAGTTTCTGTTTGATTTCAGTAAGACTTGGTACACAAGTAGATAATGCTAAGATACAACATAACTCTATTGGTTTTTGATTAAGGCAAATGGTGTTGCCATGGTTACAAAAAATAGAAAATTTGTGTATGATTCTTCCTTCTACAGTTTAAATATGATTTCAACAAGATTTGGTACACAAGTAGACTATACTTAGATAGATGCAGTAAGATACTCTCTCTATATAACTATATAGACGAACAGTCAATAATTGAAATATTAGTCCATCCAAAAAATTGACCATTCAATATTTTTTTTTTCCATTGACCGGCTAGGAATAATTCATAGAGAATTTTCCTACCTTTTCTGTCAAATTCATTTGATTGGAAGATTTATAAAAAGGGACATAATTTAACCTTCCCGACTCCAAAAACAATGTGACATCACAATAGTTTATCGTTTAAGTCAAATATACAACAGGTAAAAAGATTTGCAGACACCTCGGACGGGGAGATTGACCAACTTTTGGATAATAGGAATAGCAAGAACTCATAAAATTTAATATTTGTGTATCTGAGAATCATCCAGGACTACTTGGAAGCAACTAACATTTCCTTGGAAGATTTGGAAATTGATTTAAATGAGAAATTATATTTGTAATGTACAGGTCGTCAAAAACACACTCGAAAATATGATGCAAAAAATCAACCAAAATAAAAGCCTCTGCTAACGCTTTGGCTTTTATATTTCAAACAACATTTCCCAACCTCGTAGGTTATCCTGCAACATTCACGAAAACGCGGACTTTATTTCTTAAATACATCTTTCGTTATCATAAGTACACACCAGGAGAGCTACAGACTCATCAGAGACTTTTAGTTTTTGAATTTTTAAAATAGTTTGCACTATAGTTTTGACATCAAGTACAGAATTATGATGTAACGATGGAGATAGTCATGCTTATCCAGGCTAGTTCCTGAGAAAATGAGCAGTTTCCTTTTTAGCTCACCTCGACGAAGTCAAGATGAGCTTATGCTATACCCCCGGCGTCGGTGTCGGTGTTAGCGTCGGCGTCCTGGTTAAAGTTTTAGGAGTAAGTCCATTCCCAAGTAACTATAAGCCCTACCTGGACCAAACTTGCATGGATGATGCATCTAGGGATGGACACTACCACACTTGCTTCGGATGCTGGATCTGACCAAGATTTTCCACATGAGTGACCAGGTTAAAGTTTTTGGAGCAGGTCTGTTCCCAAGTAACTATAAGCCCTACCTGGACCAAACTTGCATGGATGATGCATCTAGGGATGGACACTACCAAACTTGATTGGGATGCTGGATCTGACCTAGATTTTCCACATGAGTGACCAGGTTAAAGATTTTGGAGCAGGTCCTTTCCAAAGTAACTATAAGCCCTACCTGGACCAAACTTGCATGGATGATGCATCTAGAGATGGACACTACCACACTTGCTTCTGATGCTGGATCTGACCTAGATTTTCCACAAGAGTGACCAGGTTAAAGTTTTGCGAGCAGGTCCATTCCCAAGTAACTATAAGCCCTACCTGGACCAAACTTGCATGGATGATGCATCCAGGGATGGACACTACTAAACTTGATTGGGATGCTGGATATGACCTAGATTTTCCAGATGAGTGACCAGGTTAAAGATTTTGGAGCAGGTCCTTTCCAAAGTAACTATAAGCCCTACCTGGACCAAACTTTCATGGATGATGCATCTAGGGATGTACAGTAACTCACCTGCTTCGGATGCTGGATCTAACCTAGATTTTCCACATGAGTGAATTTTAACCATATTTTAACCAAATTAGCATGGATGATGTATCTAGGGATGGATACTTCCAGACTTGCTTTGGATTCTGAATCTGACCTACATTTTCCAGATGAGTGACCAAGATAATTTTTTGGAGTAGCTATATAATATTATGGCCTGTTATGATAAACTTTGTATAGATTGTGCATCTAAGGATGAAAACTTCCAGACTTGCTTTGGATTTTGGAACGGACCAAAATTTTCTTGAGTAGTTAACAGGTTAAAAGTTTTTGAGCAGGTCTATTTCCAAGTTACTGTAAGTCCTACTTAAATCAAACTTGCATGGATATTGATCTTTGGATGTACACTAACTGGAAAAAAAATATGATGTGAAATTTGCATTACTTACAGATAACATTCGTCGAGGTGAGCTTCGTAATCTTTGATTACCTATGTTTTGTAAAGAATCTTAGGGAAAACTATTTGGAAATGTAAACACAGAGGAGTATACAAATACCTTTTTTAATTTTTTAGGGAGAAAATGTGACTTATCTTGTATAGTAGTTATATTTGAGTGTTATAATGAGCAAGATTACCTAAAGTATCAGCTTTAAGGATGTTTGAATAATCATAAATAGTTGAGGACAATTTATATATTTTGATGCAAGTCTCTCAAATTCAAATAGCAAAGAAATAGATAAACAGTCCTCATTATAATTTCATGGTATTTATTTTTGATTTTGCAGCATTTGTAATCTACAGTTTTCTGAGTCTGTGCTATGAATATCTAGGAGGAGAGAGCTCCATTATGTCAGAAATCAGAGGAAAACCAATCAAGTGAGTTTAATTATCATAACTACATTCAATTGTAGAATTTATGATAATGTTATTATGGACTTTTGAAGTGGTTAATATAGTTGGATATTGACAATAAAAATATCAATTTTGGCCTCCACTTTTCTTGCCCAGTATTCTTCTTTTTATGGTTAATATCAATGAAACTGTATTAATCTCAAAAGTCCATATTTGCATAACTTAAAACATGCATGCAGGCCTTTCAAAATCTACCAGTACCTGGTACTTTTACCCTTCTGAAACCAGGACTTTACCGGATATACAATGGAGAGAAATTCAATAACATATTTGATTAAATTTGCTTCCACAAGGTACTTCCTAGTTTTTAAAAGTAACCACCTATTTCTAATCTTTTTGAAAGCTCTGTGCATAAATATAATTTATTGTTAAAGTTAATGATGACATTGATGATTCTAATTTATACAAAACTTACTAAATATTGAGACTGAGAGACGAACACTGTACTGAAATATAAAATGAAATATGTTACATATCAGTTATTGATTTATTTATGTATATAAGTGTATGAATTAAGGGTATGTTTTTGATTTAAAGGCAGACTAGTTGTAGATATATGACTTATTAAAATGCTGCTTTCATTACAAATGTAGGTCCAGTTGGATCTGGTGTACCTGCTGTTTAGCTGGACAACAGTACACCATTGGATTTCTCCGATTCTGTAAACAGGTAAGATGTCCCTAGATGTAGCAAAACAACTCTGTAATCAACCACTGACTGCAGTACTGTGTATAATTTATTATTTGGTTGGATTTGTAGGCCACCCTGCAGTTCTGTATTGTTAAACCAGTAATGGCTGTGATTACCCTGATTTTACAAGCATTCGGTCTCTACAAGGATGGAAACTTCTCGTAAGTTTAAATGTAGAATAAAACAATATCTGTTAGTTCACCAAACAATCAATTCTCACTAGCAGCAAAGACCAAATCTGATCTATTTCTAAGTACAAAAAATGAATATGACATGACTACTTCTGTTATGTTCAGTATATTAAGAGGTGAGTTGGGATTAGGCCAAAAAAAAATAATCTTATTCTATAGTTTCTCAGGCACTGCCTGAAAGGCAGGGGTGTCATTTTGTAAGCTCAGTGTTCTCTGTACCTCTAGTTAATTTGTTGATCATTTCTCGACATAGTACTGAATTTTGAGATCAATTAATCAATTTTCCAGGGGAAATGATGCAAAGACAAAATCAGTTGATCAGAACAATGATAATAAAGAAGTTTTAACAGATAAAGGGAGCTTTGTTATGTACATACACAGAGCTCCAGATAATTTTTTACCCCAAAGTGTATTTACTCCCTGATTTTCCATTAAATGCAGATTTTGATTTTCAGCAAATTGATCATGATTTAAGAGTATTTTGTTAATATATAATGTTTTGACATCTATTTTGATTTTGAGCTTGTTATCGAAATATAAGTGTTTTAGAAGATGAAAGGAAAAAATACTACAAAGGACAGTTCCTGCATTCATTTAAATAAATTTTAAAAATATATCCATTAGACTTTTTGCTAAAACTGAATGTTCTTTTTTGAGAAGGAAGATCATACAGTAGGTTAAGTTACCATAGGCACATAAAACTTTTCCTTTATTTAAGACGATATCGTAACAAGAGTAAACCGAGAGAAAAAAAAATCTTCATTAATATGGCAATTGAGAGAAATCAGATGAACCCATAATAAAAAAAAATTGTGTACAAACCGTGTGTAACAGTCCTACTAAACAGAAAAACTCTAGAGAATCTAAGGGAAATCTTGATCGGTAAATTCAAATACATGTTATGCGTAATGTCCCTCTACAGCAATTTATTTAATGGTATTTATTTAATTGGTCTTGATATTAAACAGAGCTCGTTTTTTTTTTTTTTCGATATGGTTTTAATATGATCTTCACTAGGTTTTTTTCCCCTTACACATCATGTCCTCTTTGATAACATTGCAGTACAAACTTTTTTTCTCCAGCTAAGACTTTATTCCTCCAACTATCGTTTGTTTTCTAGGTAACATTGTTTTCTTTACTTATGTATTACACTTGTTACAATATCATCTTATGTAGACGACACAAGCTTTTGTGTGCATGCTTAAAAGTACATGTAAGTATGCCTAGTGCATAGTCTTTCTATTTAAAGAAATCGATTTTAATCTAAATCTTTGATTCTTTCTCCATAAATGGAAATCGTCGTTGCCATTACTTGAATATTCCTGGTTGATAAAACGCATTTAAATCAGTATTTCGTTTTGAGAAAAATCAAACACTGAGTTAAAATTAACCTCAATTCATATCGTTAACTAAGTCGTACTTTTATTATTCAAACCATCGCACGCAGTACTTTCGTGGTGTAATGCTTATCTACGATTGCTAATGCATAACTGTACACCCAGTTTTAATTTTCAATGCGTATTTTGTAAAATTCAATGCGTATTTCTGCAAATACGCACCTTATCTGGAGCTCTGCATACATATATGTATATTTGTATTGCTTTAGTCGTGTCTATTTTTATCTTTCAGCCCCTCCTCTGGGTTCCTGTACATTACCCTGATATACAACACATCGGTCAGCCTTGCCCTGTATGCCCTCTTCCTGTTTTATTTTGCCACAAGAGAACTTTTGAGTCCTTATGATCCTGTCTGGAAGTTCCTCACTGTCAAATCTGTCATTTTCCTGTCATTCTGGCAAGGTACACCAAGTTTGAAACTTTCATGTGCTTTCTTTGGGGTTGGTATGGTACAGGTACCCTATAATGTGATACATATCACGATATTGTGGTCGTCATCACGATACATTATCATTTATATATCAGATTGTTGTCCCAACACTAGTTTCCATGCAATTAAGATGTTCAATAAATCAAAAAATTAATAGAGACATTGCTTTCCCTTTTTAGGTCACCTGAGTCACTCAGGTGACCTATTGCTATCTGTTTTTGTCTGTCATCGTTCGTCGTACGTTGTTCGTCGTCAATCGGTCGTAAACTTTTGAACATTTTTAGCTTCTTCTCTGGAACCACTGAACCAATTTCAACCAATTTTGGCATATAGCATCTATAGGTGAAGGGGAGTAAAAATTGTGAAATTCATGGCCCCTGCCCCCCTGGGGCCTGAGGGGTGGGGCTAAAACCATCAAAATTAATGCAATCTTTAAAAATCTTCTTCTTTACTCCTGGACATCAAGCAGTCAAACTGTTGGCATGATTGTAATAAGCATTGAGCCCTCTACCAAAATTTTGAAATTCATGGCCCCAGGGTCAGGGGTTCTGGTTCTAGGGCGGGCTCTAATGATTATATAGTGAAAATGCATTAATTCTTTAAAAATCTTCTCCTCTGCTCCTAGATATCAAGCCGATGAATTAAGTACATAGTAATGATGAGCAAAAGTGCCTCTTCCAAAATTGTGAATTTCATGGCCCCTGGGTCAGGAGTTCTGGTGTTAGGGCGGGGCTCTAATAAATATATAGTGAAAATGCATTAATTCTTTGAAAATCTTCTCCTCTGCTCCTGGGTATTAAGCCGATGAATTAAGTACATAGTTATGATGAGCAAGAGTGCCTCTTCCAAAATTGTGAATTTCATGGCCCCATGGTCAGGGGTTCTGGTGTTAGGGCAGGGCTCTATTGATTATATAGTGAAAATGCATTAATTCTTTGAAAATCTTCTCCTCTGCTCCTGGGTATTATATAAACAAACTAAGTGCATAGCTATGACAAGCAATTATGCCTCTTCCAAAATTGTGAAATTCATGGCCCCTGGGTCAGGGGTTCTGGTGTAGGGGGGGGGGGGGGGCTCTATAAATTATATAGTGAAAATGCATTAATTCTTTAAAAATATTCTATTTGCTCTTGGATATTATTTAAACAAACTAAGTGCATGGTTATGACAAGCATTTATGCCTTTTCCAAAATTGTGAAATTCACGGCCCCTGGGTCAGGGGTTCTGGTGTGTGTGTGTGGGGGGGGGGGGGGGGGGCTCTATTGATTATATAGTGAAAATGCATTAATTCTTTGAAAATCTTCTTCTCTGCTCCTGGGTATTATTTAAACAAACTAAGTGCATGGTTATGACAAGCATTGATGCCTTTTCCAAAATTGTGAAATCCATTGCCCCTGGATCAGGGGTTCTGGTGTTTGGGGGGGGGGGGCTCTATTGATTATATAGTGAAAATGCGTTAATTCTTTAAAAATCTTCTATTTGCTCCTGGATATCATTTAAACAAACTAAGTGCATGGTAGGACAAGTAATGATGCCTTTTTTACAATTGTGAAATTCATGGCCCCTGGGTCAGAGGTTCTGGTGTGGGGTGGGGGTGGGGGGGGGGCTCTATTGATTATATAGTGAAAAATGCATTAATTCTTTGAAAATCTTCTTTTCTGCTCCTGGGTTCTGGTGTTTGTGGGGGGGGGGGGGGGGGGGGGGCTCTGTTGATTATATAGTGAAAATGCATTAATTCTTTAAAAATCTTCTATTTGCTCCTGGATATCATTTAAACAAACTAAGTGCATGGTAGGACAAGTAATGATGCCTTTTTTACAATTGTGAAATTCATGGCCCCTGGGTCGGGGGTTCTGGTGTGGGGGGGGGGGGGGGGGGGGGGCTCTATTGATTATATAGTGAAAATGCATTAATTCTTTAAAAATCTTCTATTTGCTCTTGGATATTATTTAAACAAACTAAGTGCATGGTTATGACAAGCATTGATGCCTTTTCCAAAATTGTGAAATTCACGGCCCCTGGGTCAGGGGTTCTGGTGTGTGTGTGTGGGGGGGGGGGGGGGGGGGGGGCTCTATTGATTATATAGTGAAAATGCATTAATTCTTTGAAAATCTTCTTCTCTGCTCCTGGGTATTATTTAAACAAACTAAGTGCATGGTTATGACAAGCATTGATGCCTTTCCAAAATTGTGAAATCCATTGCCCCTGGGTCAGGGGTTCTGGTGTTTGGGGGGGGGGGGGGGCTCTATTGATTATATAGTGAAAATGCATTAATTCTTTAAAAATCTTCTATTTGCTCCTGGATATCATTTAAACAAACTAAGTGCATGGTTATGACAAGCATTTATGCCTTTTCCAAAATTGTGAAATTCACGGCCCCTGGGTCAGGGGTTCTGGTGTGTGTGTGTGTGGGGGGGGGGGGGGGGGGCTCTATTGATTATATAGTGAAAATGCATTAATTCTTTGAAAATCTTCTTCTCTGCTCCTGGGTATTATTTAAATAAACTAAGTGCATGGTTATGACAAGCATTGATGCCTTTTCCAAAATTGTGAAATCCATTGCCCCTGGATGAGGGGTTCTGGTGTTTGGGGGGGGGCTCTATTGATTATATAGTGAAAATGCATTATTTCTTTAAAAATCTTCTATTTGCTCCTGGATATCATTTAAACAAACTAAGTGCATGGTAGGACAAGTAATGATGCCTTTTTTACAATTGTGAAATTCATGGCCCCTGGGTCAGAGGTTCTGGTGTGGGGTGGGGGGGGGGGGGGGGGGCTCTATTGATTATATAGTGAAAAATGCATTAATTCTTTGAAAATCTTCTTTCTGCTCCTGGGTTCTGGTGTTTGTGGGGGGGGGGCTCTATTGATTATATAGTGAAAATGCATTAATTCTTTAAAAATCTTCTATTTGCTCCTGGATATCATTTAAACAAACTAAGTGCATGGTAGGACAAGTAATGATGCCTTTTTTACAATTGTGAAATTCATGGCCCCTGGGTCGGGGGTTCTGGTGTGGGGGGGGGGGGGGGGGGGCTCTATTGATTATATAGTGAAAATGCATTAATTCTTTAAAAATCTTCTATTTGCTCTTGGATATTATTTAAACAAACTAAGTGCATGGTTATGACAAGCATTGATGCCTTTTCCAAAATTGTGAAATTCACGGCCCCTGGGTCAGGGGTTCTGGTGTGTGTGTGTGGGGGGGGGGGGGCTCTATTGATTATATAGTGAAAATGCATTAATTCTTTGAAAATCTTCTTCTCTGCTCCTGGGTATTATTTAAACAAACTAAGTGCATGGTTATGACAAGCATTGATGCCTTTTCCAAAATTGTGAAATCCATTGCCCCTAGGTCAGGGGTTCTGGTGTTTGGGGGGGGGGGGGGGCTCTATTGATTATATAGTGAAAATGCATTAATTCTTTAAAAATCTTCTATTTGCTCCTGGATATCATTTAAACAAACTAAGTGCATGGTAGGACAAGTAATGATGCCTTTTTTACAATTGTGAAATTCATGGCCCCTGGGTCAGAGGTTCTGGTGTTGGGGGGGGGGGGGGGGTCTCTATTGATTATATAGCAAAAAATGCATTAATTCTTTGAAAATCTTCTTCTCTGCTCCTGGGTATTATTTAAACAAACTAAGTGCATGGTTATGACAAGCATTGATGCCTTTTCCAAAATTGTGAAATCCATGGCCCCTGGGTCAGGGGTTCTGGTGTTTGGGGGGGGGGGCTCTATTGATTATATAGTGAAAATGCATTAATTCTTTAAAAATCTTCTATTTGCTCCTGGATATTTAAACAAACTAAGTGCATGGTAGGACAAGTAATGATGCCTTTTTAAAAAATTGTGACATTCATGGCTCCTGGGTCAGGGGTTCTGGTGTTAGAGGGGGGGCCTCTATTGATTATATAGTGAAAATGCATTAATTCTTTGAAAATCTTCTTCTCTGCTCCTGGGTATTATTTAAACAAACTAAGTACATGGTAAAGGTGCACAAGGTTGCTTTTTCCAAAATTGTGAAATTCATGGCCCCTGGGTCAGGGGTTCTGGTTTTAGGGGGGGGGGGGGCTCTAATGATTACATTTTAAAAAATGCAATGATTCTTTGAAAATCTTCTCCTTTTCTCCTGGGTATTAAGCCAATGAACAAAGAATATAGTTATGATGAGTAAGAGTGCCTCTTCCAAAATTGTGAATTTTATGCCCCCTGGGTCAAGGTTCTGGTGTTAGGGCAGGGCTCAGGGCAAAGTTGATACATGATACTCAGGTGACCTATAAGGCCCTTGGGCCTCTTGTTGATTTTAAGATATATAAAAAAGAGTTTTAAAAATCCTCTGAGAATAAATATTACTTTCTTTCTCTTTTTTAATCATTTTCTATTCTTATTTCCTATTTTCAATAATAGCACTATAATTCTTATTATAAACTAGCTAGTGTCTCTCATTATTCAGTGCAGTACATGTTGATGTTCATGTGCTGATTGAGTCTGTTTTTGGCAAATGTATAAAATAGATACAGTATTTGTAGGTCATCAGTAACATATTAGTAGTAACTTACAATTTAAAGCTAATATCATTTTTGCTTGTTTTATCATATTGGTCATGTTGGTGGCAGATAATTGATTAATTAAATTAAGATTTTAAACTTCTGCAATGAAATTGAATACAGTTACATATCTGTAAATGTATAAAATACCTTCCAGAGTGTCAAAAATTATAATGAAGGAGAAAATAATTGTTTCTGTTAATTGAATATTTATACTTGTTTCTGTACTATTTAAATTATAAATTCCTTCTTTTTATTTTAGAAAAACGTTAACGATTTCAATAGAAGTGAAGGTCAATGTTAATGCTACTTTCACTTCGTGATTTATTTTTAGAACGCTATAATACAAGACTCTAGTTTTATATTAATTAAAACAGATACCTTGGACATTCTCAAATTATTTCAGCTTTTAACCCCTATTCAGACTGTCAAGTGATCAAAGTAATTACCTAATCACCTGTAATTGAAAGTAAGCACCTGTATAGTACACAGGTACCGTAATGCGAGTTTCATTGCGTAATCGTCCATGGCAGGAGGTGTGAATTGCTGATTGTCCTTAGGTAATCTGCTTTGGAACACATTAATTATTTGAATGAGGGAAAAGGACAGTCAGAATGATACGGGGAACTAACAAGGGACACAGGGGCCCCTGTGGGAGGCAGAGGGGCGCACTGATTTGAGGGCGGGGCACGGCGCCCCTCCATTTCACCCTAGCTGGAACACTGAACACTGTTCCCAAGGAATGGGATGTTTATTCAGGTGACACTTGTCCTGCAAGGTGATGATTGATAAAAATGTAATTAATCATATTGATGTCCATCTGCTCTTAAAATAATCAACATTGACTAGCTGTCTTATAATAATTTGAAGACGCAGTGAAAAGTAGAAATTGATTATGAAATGACACACTAGATTCTAGTCAGCGTCAAAGTTAACTTTATAATAAAAGTCAATTACCATATTTGGCCAAATATTATATGCATTGGTGTAAAAATATGCACCCCCTTTTTGGGCCTGAACATTTGGGAAAAACGCAGCTTGGTCGTATTATACACAGTCCAAATTGATCAAGCGGTAATCTCGTCTTTTTTCACATCGCGGTAATTTTTACTTAAAGTCTTTGTGGAAATAATGTATCGAAAATTTAAGCACGATAATTTTTCATACATGGATTTTGTTTTTAGGTCACCTGAGTCACTCAGGTGACCTATTGCTATCTGTTTTTGTCTGTCGTCGTTCGGCGTACGTCGTTCATTGTTCGTCGTCAATCGGTTGTAAACTTTTGAACATTTTTAGCTTCTTCTCTGGAACCACTGAACCAATTTCAACCAATTTTGGCATATAGCATCTATGGGTGAAGGGGAGTAAAAATTGTGAAATTCATGGCCCCTGCCCCCCTGGGGCCTGAGGGGTGGGGCTAAAACCATCAAAATTAATGCAATCTTTAAAAATCTTCTTCTTTACTCCTGGACATCAAGCAGTCAAACTGTTGGCATGATTGTAATAAGCATTGAGCCCTCTACCAAAATTTTGAAATTCATGACCCCAGGGTCAGGGGTTCTGGTGCTAGGGCGGGGCTCTAATGATTATATAGTGAAAATGCATTAATTCTTTAAAAATCTTCTCCTCTGCTCCTGGGTATTAAGCCGATGAATTAAGTACATAGTTATGATGAGAAAGGATGCCTCTTCCAAAATTGTGAATTTCATGGCCCTTCTTGGTGAGGGGTTCCATGTTGGGGGGGGGGGGGGGCTTATTTATTATATACTGAAAATAAATTAATGCTTTGAAAATCTTCTCCTCTGCCCCTTGGTATTAATTAAACAAACTAAATACATAGTTATGATGAGAAAGGATGCCTCTTCCAAAATTTTGAATTTCATGGCCCCTGGGTCAGGTGTTCTTGAGCTTGGGTGGGGTTCTATTGATTAATTAGCAAAATGCATTAATGCTTTGAAAAACTTCTTCTCTGCCCCTGAGTACTAAGCAAACAAGCTAAATGCAATAATATCAATGTAAATACATGTATTAAATTTAATTATAAGTAAATGTGCCTTTTCTTTGCTTGTCAGGTTATCTAGGAGACAGAGTACACAATTGTGATGTGAAGCAAATGAGAGTTACTCCCCTTTGCTAAATATTGTTAATCAAGAAATCCTTGTATATAATTTAATTAACAGGTTATTTGATTGAATGAGAATACAAGAAAGAATGTTATATATATATAGAAACAAAATAAAGTGAATGTTTGGTTTAAATGAGCAAAGTATGCTCAAAGTCAGATTCTTGCCTGGAAAGCTGTATAAAAGATTGACATAAAGATTATTTATATATTTAGCAAAAGTTGTAATTGTATACAGTATGTATACTATGTGGTGATCTAAGTTAGTGTCACTTATAAAGGAGTTGTGGTTGACAGGAGACTGGATGTTGTTTTATACTTTATCAAAGTGAACAAAGAATCGCAGAGGGCCAGAGTGACTTATTGTAATTAGTGACAAGTGGCAAATAACCACGTTGTATATACCCAAGTCTGTGTGTACTGAATTGTAGCACTAGGCAAGTGACAAAAAAAAAATCTGTATATATTGAATACCTTACACAATAGGCAAGTGTTCTTTGTATTTGTATATTTTGCATTCATTATCATCCCTGTAAGACTTGGGAAAACCAAGTATGATCCAAAGGAGATCAATCGGGTCTAGCACATTACAATAAGCAAGGGTATTTTTACCAGATTTTTAGCTCACTTAGACGAAGTCGAGATGAGCTTATGCTATACCTCCTACATTGGCGTCCCGGTTAAAGTTTTAGAAGCAAGTCCACTCCCAAGTAACTATAAGCCCTACCTGAACCAAACTCGCATGGATGATGCATCTAGGGATGGACACTACCACACTTGCTTCGGATGCTGAATCTGACCTAGATTTTCCAGATGAGTGACCAAGTTAAAGTTTTTGGAGCAGGTCTTTTTCCAAGTAACTATAAGTCTTACTTAAACCAAACTTGCATGGAAATTGATCTTGGGATGTATACTAACTTGAAAAAAATATGATGTGAGATTTGCCTTACTTACAGATAACATTTGTCGAGGTGAGCTTCGTAATCTTTGATTACCTATGTTTGAAATTCTTTAGCAACATTGCTTCGTCTATCAGTTAATTTTGTTTTATACTTCCATGGATCCTTTAGTGTTGTATTATACTCAGGTGACCGTTAAGGCCCTTGGGCCTCTTGTTGAGTTTTTAATATGTGTGCCCTGGCATTAAACTTTTATATTTTCAACTTTTCAAGAAAGCATGCTTTGTTACCAGACATTTTTCAAATATAGTTTCAAATATATTTCAAATATACTTCTAGTGACCAGTGCAGGTAATTGACTATGATCCTGAAGAATTGATTTTACTTTTTGAATTACCGGATTTTTAGTTCCATCTCCATGGCTTATGATTTGCCAACAGGCCGTTGACTTATACTAAAAGTGCCAAAACTGCTGCAGTACAAGACATACCTTTGTAAAACTATTGTCTCATATCATTCTCTCATTACTTGATAAAGAATGAAACAATACTTACATTGCATGCATTTCATTTTATAATACAGTGGCTTCCATTTTATCGGATAGCGGTTTAACGAATATTTCGGCTATTTCAATATAATATCAGAGCACAAAACCATTTCTTATATATTTATTAATAATTTCACCTGATATTCTGATGAGAAAATATTGGAATTTCGTTTTATCCGATACAAAAATTTAGACTATCATAGTGTTTTTTGATAATCAGCACCTTGTTCACACCTCCAACTTCGTATGTGAAGCCTTTGTTTACACAGTTTGACACCAATTACCTTGACTGGTTTGAGTACGACAATGAGGGGATTAGTTACGGCTGGACGCACACAGGCACCTTACCTGTGTCAATAGTGGGCATAGTAAATAGATATGTTTTGATTACAGTTGTGGTGATCAGCTTGGGTTCAATGATGCACTTGTTAATTATGACAATTATCTGCAATTTTTTCGGCGTGAAATTTATTTATTAAACTGATTAGCTTGTGTATGACAATTTACTTGGATAATGAAATAAGCCTATTCAATCGTTTAACTTGGTCAATTGGCTTAATATTTATTCACTTTTCAGTGCAAAATTTATGGTAAAAATAATAAATGGCCCGTTCTATAAAAATACGTCTCAAAATTCATACCATCTTTCTCCACATGGCTCTCAAAATCTCTCTTCAGCAAACAAGAACGAGACTGGTAAACTCACACACAGTATAAAATACGCAACCGTATTAAAGAAACAAATAAAAACGAAACAATTACATATATTTAATATTTTTGTTTATTTTTAATTTACAATCTATCCAGGGAAAAATAGTTTACGGTTATTAGTCAAGCATTTAGTCTACTTCCGTTTCCAAAATGGCGACCATCGAAGAAGGAATGTAAACATGTGCTGAAGAAAGATGGCAATAACTATCAAAGAATATATTCTATACGTCAATTTATTTGAAAAAAAATTTCATATTAAATTCATAAGTAAGTAAAATAAATTATTTTTAGTAAAGTCATTAAGTAAACATGTCAAAAGAAAACGAATGTGCAAGCTGGAAATTTGCTACGATGTATTATCAATACATGTAGCTCTATGCATCTATCTTTGGACTCGGTATGAAGCAATCGGCTATTCTAATTTTCGGCTATTCGGATAAAACAAGGCTGACAACTTGACTATTCGATAAAACGGGAACCACTGTAATATGGTTAAACAAAAAAACTGTTGTAAAATCTCTGTTACATGTATCTCATTTAGGATATTGTAGATTCCTTATTTTGCTTAGTATCACTAAATGAATCATAAATGCCGCGAGATCATGAATTCTCAAATGAAATGTTGATCAAGAGTTTTTACATGTATTTCCACAACATAATAACATAAGCAAGTACTTTTAATTTCACAAGTTGTGCTTCTCGCAAAATTACGTGATCATTAATTCCTCACATATATTTAGGAATCTACAGTGTCTCTATAAATGAACAATTGTTGACAAGCGTCTTCATCCTTTTTCAGGTATTGTGCTGGCAATTCTGGAAAAGGCAGGTGCTATAAGTCCTATTTTCTCTGACAATGGAACCATGAAGGTTGGACTAGGTACTGTCTCAGCTGGATACCAGAACTTCTTTATTTGCATAGAAATGTTCTTTGCTGCTTTGGCACTGCGACTGGCATTCCCTCATTCGATCTACAGCTCGGGGCCCGCCAATACAACAGGAAGAACGGTGTCTCTCCAGAGCATATCCAGCAGTCTCAAGGAAACCATGAACCCCAGGGACATAATGCAGGATGCAATTCATAACTTCCACCCGAATTATCAACAATACACACAGCAAGGAAGTAAGATCCCTCACGAGGAGGAACAGGCAGATGGATGGCCGTATGAACAGTACCAGAATCGTCCCACTCGCAATGGTAATGTTACGAGGGACGTGTTGTCAAGGCCGTTGCCCCATCAACAACCAGAAACTGCCCAAGGCCAGCAAGCACAGCGCCCTCATGTTGGCTCAACCACAAGGAAATTTAATGAGAAGACAACCCTTTTAAGTTCTGATGATGAATTTCAGTGAACTTTGAAATGATGGGTAGCGCATTACAATCTCTAGTCTGTGTGACCAGTATGATTAGTGGAGAAGAGAATTGATGTATATCACTGCAGTCAGACAAAGGAATTGGTATTTCTTGTGTAGGAAATGGATTTCCTCCAAAGACTTAACAGATTACATCAACTTTCTATACAGAAGCTGAATTATTCTAACAAATATTTTTAATCCAGTTATGCCGTGAAGCACTACAGCTCTAGCTATCACTAACCATTTAACAGCCATTACAGTCTTATTTCTATATTTATGTGCAATGTTAACTACAATCTATTCTGTCTTGTATATATAAAGAAGTTGATAAGGTTGATACCCACCGAGTTATCAAGGTTAGTGTATACAATGTAATCTGTAGTAGTATTAGAGTTAGTAGTTCTAAGGTTTGTGATTGTACCAGTGTTCTGTACAAATGTATACAATATCAAGAGTCTATAATTAAGTTAAAGGTTTTGAGTTCCGTTATTGTGATAATTGAGGTCATATCATTTTTACATGTTCACCAGTAGCTATTGAATTACATTACAGTAGGTATAGCTGTATGAACACTGTTTTATAGCCTTTGTTTGTCATAATGACTATTCTGAACAATGCGCTGAAGAATCTCTTTTTTAATAATGGAGAGCTAAAGTTTTGTACTTTGTTATTATCAACATAACCCCACTTTTTTTGTAACTCCTAATAATATGAGAAGAAATTGAGAGTGTGTGTGGATTCTGCAAAGGATGGCAGTACGTGTATGGGAAGGAACAAAAAAATTAAGTTTCATTTTTTTAAAATGACAAGTACATAGTACTAGTATTCTGATTTTAAAATGAAGGACAATACTCTCCAAAACAAATTTTATTTACTTTTTGTACTAGTCTCACTTTAATTCAGTTCTGTTTAAAAAAAAAATGGGGGTCAATTTATACCATTTTTGCTTTAAAATTGCCTCTCCATAACAGGTTAATATATCATTTTTGTCTGTGACTGTGTTCTTGTGAATGAAGTTTTCAATTTTCCTGACAGATACAAGAATGACCAATTCCATTTAGCATAGAGTGCAATAATCACATTGTCAGTTTGGTTTGTAAAGGTTCATAGTTCAGAGTAAGTGCTTTTGTGAGGATATTGGACTTGTGTATGAATGTCAAGTTGTCTCCCTTGAGATATTATGTCGGAGGTCTCTGTGTTTATGGTGGTTGGATACAGTGACATAAAATGGCTTCTTGTACATTTGTAAATTCATCAGTTAAACCAATTTAATGCTGTAGATGTCCCAATACATGTAAGTTTTTTAATGTATCCAAGTAAATGACCATTAATTATTAAGCATTGTCATACAACCTATAGAGTGCATTACAATATATTCACACAGACTTGCTGTGACAAATCACATTAACTAATCTCTGTTTGGTTTTTGTTGCATAATCAGCTTGAAATGTGTTCATCACTTGAGTGGAATTATTGACCTCCATGTAATGCTCAGGTGGTTGCCGAGCGGTTTTTAAGAGCCACGACATTGTTCAAGGAGGGATTATCAATTTTGTTGTCAGGGAAATATTGACTTGTAAAATGATTGGTATCATTATAATATGTACATGTGGCCAATAATAAAAAATGATTTGTTTGATGTACTCCAACCAACCTGCTAAAATCACCCCAACCTGATCATTTTTTGTTATTTCAGTTCTTTAAATTTTATTTTATTATTTGTTCATGGGAAAGTACAGATTGTCTTTATCTTTTTTAAAGTTAGTTTTTTTCATTTCTAAGAGATATTTTTAGTTTTAAAGTTTTTACAACAATAAATATTAAATATGTCTAGCTGTCTTGTCTATACATTATGAAAACATCAATGAATCTGTAAGTCTGATGATTATCTATTTGTAAGATAATACCTACCTACCCACCTTGAAATATGAGAGTTGGAGTACATTCAACAACAACAAATTAATGCTGGCCTGTCTGATTCTTTTATTTCAGCAGAGTTTTAGATTGTTTTGCAAAAATTGTACATAATTTCAAACACTTTAGGGGCTTAGCTACTTTAATACCCCACTCAAGCACATCACATGGCTTTGTGAATGGGATAAAAGAAAATCAACAGAATTCACTATCAGTATTATATTTTAAAAAGAAAATCATTTTTAGCATTATTAGATCAGGAATTTGTATTAATTTTATGGCACCATTAAAAAAAGTATTAGGGTTGTAATTTCCTTGTTCTAAGGTTGTGCAATTTTGGAGATACTGAAGATGTTCCAAAACTTTATCTAAAAATTTTAAAAGGTGGGCATTTAAATCATTCATTTGGTACAATGACAAAAAATTCCTTTCACAGAAATTATTTGTGAAATGGTAGTTATAGGAAAATTCTTCACATAAATTTTAGTATATGTATAATGTACATGTATATACATGAACATACATTAAATTTCCTTTTGCTAAATTGCATCGTTTTAGCAACATTGTAAATTGTTGTCCATAATTTTTTTCAAATGTCTCTGGGACCAATTAAAACATGAAATGTATTCCTATATCACATATATGGGAAAAGGGATGAGGGGAGGGGGAGGTTGAGCCTTTTTTCATTAAATGTTTTTGTTAGATCAATATCAGTTTTTTCATTGAACAGTTATTATTCATTGTCATAAAAAATTAGGTTAATGAATTTTACATCTCTCTCTCTTTCTCCATCCTTGCTACACTCTCATAGAAACATTTTTAGGGACGTGTGTATTATAAATTTATTTTTGTAATTGTTTTACATATAGATATATTATGTTTTAGGCATTACATTTGAGGATTTTTTACATATTATTTTACATACATGTATTTGCAAAATTGTTCTCATTCCTGGTGTTTGGTAGTAGATACAGCGTTGGTATTTCATTTACCATCAGTATGAGCCAGTTCTAGCATCCAACAGTAATACATGTGTATTCCTATAATCTTAAATTAGTTTTGAAAGCATGTTTAGCTGACCATAACTTACAAATGGTGAATAGACTACTTACTGTTAGGATTTATATTAACTGTGGCTGTGGTAGGATCTTAGACATTATTGACAAGTGGACAACATCTTGTATCTTTTTTTGACTCTTAGTTTATAACAAAGTAGTTGTACAGCTTACACATATCTGTTGACTGTTAATTGTGCCATGTTGTCCTGGTCTTTGTGTATGTGATAATAAAATATCAACTGAAATGTTGTTTTTCTTTGTTCATGCATGGTTACTTAACAGACAGTGTAAATAATAGATTTTTGTTCAATATTTACATGATAATCAAAAGTCAGTACACATAAAATTAATTATCTTTTGTAATTTTGGCCTGTCATATTTTTTAAATTTTGGTTAAAAATGAATGAAATCAGAAGTCTCTGATGAGATTGTTGCTCTCTGGTGTGTACTTAAAGAGCTGCCATCATAAATTGAAAATTGTAAAGTAGGGTTTTGGGGTCTCGGAGGTCCTCAGCCATTAGAGATTTTTTATGAATAGATGATTTGTGAATGCATGGAGATTGCAGGTGTGCATGGAAGTGGACAATGACAATACAATAATCATTGCAAGGACTATGACTTTTTTTATTATAATAGTGAAAACTGAATTTGGCAAGCTTTGAAAATTCCTGTATTCAAAACTTTTAAATGAGAAAAAAGGAAGTCAGAAGCATACAGAAATCATAAGGTGTATTTAAGACACTTAATCTGTAAGCCCTATGCCAAAATCTAAAGGTTTGGCAGCTCAGTACTTATAATAAAGGAAATGAAAAGAAACTTTGGACTTGAAACACTTTTCTATTCTACAAAGTATGTATCCCAATATTTTTAAACTTGTATGTTTCATTAAAATCATCCAAACTGTAAGAGGAGTAGCATTTTTGAATTTTTACACATGATCTTTTCTTTGTAACCATGGCAACATTGTTAAATAGAATTCCAAGTCTTGGTTAAGTCATTGTGCTTTGAGAGAAGAAGCATTAAAAAGAATTCCACATTGTAATTCTATTTTAAGTTACTAAACAAAGCTTAGTATCCATCAGTCACCTTTCTTATGTATAGATAACCCCCCCCCCCCACCTCTTGACTATTAAATTACATATACATTCCATGTTTAACAAATTTTAAGAGTGTGTTGAGGCTTGATGTTGTTTACAAATTTGTTACCTTGTATTTTTTGCAGCAGATTATATTTCTGTGTAAAACTTTGTTCCCAGACTGTAAACCATTTGCTACCTAGGCTTTTTTCCCCAAGGTTTAGATGGATATTTATTACATAAATGTTTTGATTTTAAAATGCTAACTGTGGTTTCAACAGAGTGCAGAAGAAAATCTTTCACATACTTGTAGGCTTTGACAACTTTAATTAAAACAGTTCAGTGATAAAATTCACGGAATTTTTTAGCAAGGATCAGATTTTTGCATTATCATTCAAGTTTTTATCTGATAAAAGAATTTTGCTAATAAATATGGATCTCAAATCCTGAAGAAAGCACTCATAAAAATCTATGTCTTTTAAATTTAGGGGTACTAAACAATTTTTTTTTTCAAGATTCCAGACAGTAAACTAATAATAATGTTGGAATCTTCAAATCTCATTGATATACTAAATATACTGTATAACAGGTATTTTCTGCGGTTGGAAAACTTTGCAATTTGACTCTTGAAAGATAGCAAATTAATTTCTGTGTTTTCAATTTCTGCGTTGGATTATACCGCAAAAATTTATCTAAGGGATTTGGCAGAACACTGCCATATTTACGTTTTATAAATTCATTTAAAGATATGTTGATCAAAGGTACATGGGAAATGACTGATACTAAGCTCTACTTTCTTTTAATTAGTCACGTAAATAATTTGCGATTGTAATTTTTGCAGATTTGTCCTATCCGCAAAATTGGATAACCGCAGAAAATACCTGTTATATGGTAATTCTGTGAAGTTTCAGCATACATGTAGCTGAACAGGTTTAAAGTTTTTCTGTACTATGAATAATGAAATAAAAGAATACTTTATAATATGATAATTAAAAATATTTATTTCTATGTCATGAATTTAAGTACATTGTGCATATGCATATCAAAATATTTAAAAAATGTTAAAAGCTGCATAGTAATGTAAAATTCTTAAATGCAAATTAATTTCTGCTTTAAATTAAAATAGTTAATGTCCATGATTCCAACGTGTATATAGTTTGTAATCAAGTGATGCCACTAAATATAAATACAACCTCATTTGTCCCAGAGAAAATTCTCATTCATAAAAAAAAATTTTTTCAATCATCAAAAATGGTCTGAAGCTCAAGATTTTGGCATTCACATTCTATCATTCATACAAAAAATAGGAAAACAAAAATACACCTCCATAACCTAATCTAGTTTATTGCACCAGTGTAATCCAGCAGAATTGTATGTCACAGACACAGCTTTACAGGGGCCTCTGTTGTGACTGTTAAAAGTGACTGTGTCCAGAGACCACATAATATCACAGGTAATCTCATTCTAGGGGAAACCTCATCTAAAAAAATATCAAACAATATCTGTAACTGCATTTATTAATCTCTCCATCATGCCCTTATCAATTCAGGGATTCCCACTATTAGTTAATTACATTTAAAAGACTGACAAACTGACAACTATAGTAAAAACTGCTGTATACCTAACAGGTTAACAGTGAATACTTGCTTGTAACAAAGTCACATAATGTCACAATGTTTTGTTGTATAAAATTGATGAAAAGTGATGCAAAGGAGGCTTCTAGATGGAGTACCTGATTTTAGATGGTCTGATAACCCATCCTGAAAGCCTTGCTGACTCCCCACTCCACTACACAGAAAGCCAGAGTCCCCACCACGCCTAACAGAGTTAGAATTAGTAACTGGTAGTGGAGTAATAGCACCTCACTGTAGTAAAATGCCCCGGCTGCTGCTATAGACTAATGGAAAAAGGCATGATATCTATATAATGACTCTACATTATACTATTGAGCTATTCAGAATTTAGCATAATCATCAAGTAAGGAGTGGTTGGCTTGAATAAGTGTAACTAATTTACCCTTTAAAAAAAATTTAAAATTGGAAATAAATCTTGGTTTTTAAACATGAAAATACATCATTATTTTAAGCGGTATAATAATTACTGTTCAATTATGCATGACCAACTGGCCAAATTTTGCATTAAGGTATGTTTAAGTCGACCATCATTTTAACAACCTGAATTAAAAGCCAATAACTCAGAAGCTCGTGCATCATACAGCCAACTAATGCCAATATTCATGAGTATAAGTTTAATAACCCTATATTATTCTACTTTTACAGCTCATGAATAACTCCTGTTTATATGTAGCTTCATCCAGATTATACCTGTACATCTTACCTGCACAAATTTAAATAAAGCAAAAGCTGGGGAGCTGTCTTCTGGAAACATGAATCCAAGAATAGAGTAGAGCTGTGGAAAGAAACAAAGACATGATCAAAAATAATACAGTCATACTGTTTCTTTTAGAATTCACACCAGCACTATGTATTCATTGCAACACTTACCTGAGTATTGAAACTGCTATCACCAAATCCAAGTAGAAAGGAACAGAATATTGCAACATATTGACTAAAACATACAAGATACAAGTGTTATTTTCAAAATAATATCATAAAATAGTACATGTACTTGTACAGTAGGGCTGGGCAATAATATTGATATTCCGATATATTGCGGTACAATGAAAAAAAAAATCATATTGCAATACGTTTTTGTAGTACCGATATACCGGCAAAACGTTTGGACTCAGGATTTTTATGATAAATATGCAGTGTAAGTTGTCAGAAATGCTTATGATTGTGTGAAATAGTATGGCAAAAGTTGTTGTATACGTCTATTTCGAAGCATAAATACCATCACTGTAGCTCAGTCGGTAGAGCGCTCAGTCCATGATCGAAAGGTCCTGTGTTTGAATCAAGTCAATAAAAAATAGGTAGCAACTGTTCCTTCGCTAGGCACTCGGCACTTTGAAGTGAAAGTTGCGGGTCCTTTGGATGAGACTTTTAAAACCGAGGCCCCATGTCACGGTAGGCGTATGCACGATAAAGAACCCTCACTGCTCAATGACCCTAAGTACCGAGTAAAGATCTAAGTTTGAAGCCCTTCACCGGTATATGGTGAAATCACTACCGGTATATGAGTGAAAAAATTCTTGAATGGGACATAAAACAACATACAATCAATCAATCAATGGAAACATTATTGTAATAAAATCAACAAGCTATTTTTTCTTGGTCATTTAACACAGTTATGTACGTTCTGCATGTAAACGGAAGATAATAAATTTTAAAAATGCCATTTTATTTGGGGTCGAAAATATTGCAATACATATCGCAATACAGTTTAAAATATCGCAATACGAAATCTCCAGCCAATACCCAGCCCTATTGTACAGATATTGATTTGCTTTTAACAGTGCACAAACTATTCATCTTTGCTTTAAATCTAAAAAAAATAATGCTGTACTTTATTATTGTTTAAATTAAAACATCTGGTGAATTTTCAAGAATCAAAGTGTATATAATCAATATTTTATAATACAGTAACAAACATGGATTTTTTTTTTGGAATCCCTGGCACAATTCTAAACAATTCCTTGTGATTTTTTTCAGATATAACAAACTCGGATACAGCAAATTTACAGATATAGCAAACTGATTTTATGTTCCATAGAGGTTAAAATAACGAAATTTACATCTTTTACAGCGAATTTTCATAGATCTCAATTTTTTTAATATTGGACTGACACTATTTTTGTAAGTATTTTAAATCTGAAATTCAGTTCATCCAAATTTTTTTTTAACTACAAGGTAACTTTTGTCTTTAAATCTTCCCAAAATACATTTGGTAGTCAAACCATTTTGCAGGTCCCCAAGAATTTGCTATAACCAAGTTTTACTCAACTGTACTAAATTTGCCTGTACAATGAGATCTTACTTGGGTGTCATGAATGTTGATAAGTCATCAGAATTCTTAGGTGAACCATTGGGAAGGTTCATGAAGACAAGGAAAAAAGCTGCCATGTGTGAAAGAAAACCAAGCAACACAATCGGGTCCCTGCCATATTTATTAGTTCTCTTCCCCATTAATCCAAATGCTGCGCCTCCTGATTAGAAAATATCTTGGTAAAAATTCTAGTTCCAGAATCAACCCAAAAGATAAGAAAGTGCTCAGGAAATGATATAATAAAAATCTCTACTATAAATGGTAAATAAATATACGTCAGTCATGGACAATATTAAATATCATTATCAATATCAGTAAAATCAACAAGAAGGAGTGTACTCGTTAGTAAATTACCTAGATGTTTAAAATCTTTATACATGATGTACCTCAATACCTCAAATCTGATGAACAAGGTTCAAACATTGATTTACAATTTAAGCAGAAAAAAATACAGTAAACATCTTTTATAACGTATCTCAAGGGACTGTGATAAATCCTACGTTATAACTGGTGTACGTTATAAACGGAGACCGGAGGTACTCAGTACAGCTTTACCGTAAACAGTTTTCAAACTGCTAGTGTGTTATTTGAATATTTTAAAGTATGTATAGATTGTAAATGATTTACAAGTAAATTTGGTTTCGTTTCTTATATTAAGAAAGATTAATATTCAGTAACATTTTATTTATTGATCGTCAGATCATATAAAAAGTCTGTTATCTTTGTCTGTTTGGTCTGACGACATTTATTTACAAAAGTCTCCAGAGTCGTGAAAACTTCGGACTAATGTCCGTTGATCGTCTGGGTAGATGGTATGCACGTGTCAGGCATGGCCTTGTCGTCCTCGTTGTCTTTGCGGTTTACTGATATTGAATTACTGTATTTTTCTTTCACTAGTTTAATTATATCATTTTCGGTTATATTGCTATTAACTGACTCAAAGATGTTTTTTTATTCAAACAATTTATTATGAATACATCTACTCGATGAACTTTATTCAAACAATTTATTATAAATACACCTACCTGAAACAAAAAAAAAACCTTGTTAGAAAAAAACCCATTATGGAGAAGCTATGAAGTCAACAAACCGTGACTAATCCCAGTCACTGAGCTGATAGAAAAGGTGTGAAACCAGGTGTCAGAATACGTTATAAGAGGTGTAATTATGTAACGGGACCAAATTTCTAATACTTTATAAGCAATACTACGTTATATACAAATACGTTGTAAGCGGTCTTTTTTCCAATGAAATATATAGACACTTTGCCGGGACTACGGAATGGCTACTTTACATCCAGAGATACTTTATAACCGAGTACGTTATAAAAGAAGTTTACTGTATATATATAAAAAAAAATGTAAATCATGATCCTCAAATTAGTCATAATATAAATCATATATAAATCATAAAACAAGAGGCCCAAGGGCCCTAATGGTTAGTGGTCACCAGATTATTTATCATTATGGTATTGAGTGAATATTTCTCTCACAGATGAGTAAAAAAATCCCTAAATAATCAAAAGAGCCCTGTCCTAGTACCAGAATTAACCCCTGAACCAGTGGATATGAAGTTTACAAATCTGATAAAAACATCATTGCTCATTACAACTACATATATATGCTTTGTCAGAGAAGATTTTCCAAAAATTAACACATTTTTGCCATATGATCAGTAGAACCCAGAGGGCCATGAATTTCACACTTTAAGTAGAGGCACCCTTGCTCAGCATAACCATGCACTTACCTTGTCTGCTTAATACTGAAGATTCCTTATTTTATGCAAATACTTAATAGTGTGAAATGGCTCTTTGCTGCCAAATTGTGAGAACAAAAATTCACAACTGACCTGTTGATCAAGAGATTTTACATGGGTTGCAGCCCCATAAAAATAAAACTGAGCAATTTTATTTCACAAGAAGTGCTTCTCGCAAAATTATGCGATAATTAATTCCTCACATATATTTAGGAATCTACAGTATCCAGGAACAGAGAAGGTCTTCAAAGATTTGATTAAATGCATTTTTTCTTAATGATCCATTGAGCCATGCCCTAACACCAAAACTCCTGACCATGGGGCCACAAATTTTAAGAATTTTGAGAGAGCACCCTTGCTCATCATAATCATGCACTTAGTTTATCTGTTTTATATCCAGGAAGGTTTTCAAAGATTTGAATGAATGCATTTTCACTTAATGATCAATTGAGTCCTGTCCTAATTCCAGGAATCCTGACTCTGGGGCCATTAATTTCACAATTTGGGGAGATGATTTAATTAATGCTTAATATCATAATTATGTCAACAATTTGACTACTTGATGTCCAGAAGTAAAGAAGATTTTTGAAGATTGCATTAATTTTAAAGGGGTTAGCCCCATTCTTCAGACCCCAGGGAGGAGGAGAATGAAATCCTTTTCCCTTTGCCCATATATGTTATATACCAAAGTTGTTCTAAACTTTGTATCACGACTTACAGTTATCTAACATACTGCCACTCTTTTGCTGCAACATCAAAGAAGTTCTTAATGTTGAGAGATTTCTAGGACATGATATTGTTTACGCTAGTGACAATTTAATGATTTGAGCAATCAGTATGCCTAAAGTACGTTGTATTGCTGAGGGTTCACTTCAAATAGTAGACAGTATAATCTGGAATGTTAAGAGTATTTTATTGACTTCCAAAAGTAACAATTATCAGAAAGAAATGGTTGAATTTAACTAAGAGAGTTTGCTTAGAGGAAAGTATTAACAAATATGTGATAAAAGAGGACCAGCTCCTTTTAAATTTTGTTAATGTGGTTCACAGAATGTTCAGCAAGATATTTCACCAGGACTTCTTTTTTACAGGTCCTTAAAAAATTTACAATCTCATACTGATTTAACAGCATATTGTCCCCAGCTAACAAAAGTTTCCTACCTCCACAGTGGAAGAGTTCCACTAAGTTAAGTAATCACAATTTCAAGTATTGGTTCAACCGTCACATGACAGACAAAGACAGGCAAAAAGCAGATAGCATTACATCACCTGAGTGACTCAGGTGACCTATAAAGTTAGTTCTGTTTATTTAGTGTCTGATCCAGAATTACCAAGTATTTCTCCAACTCCTATGAACATGCCAGAGATTCCTATAAGGCCCTTGGCATCCTCACCAAACTGCTGAGTGTTAGATATACAGGTTCCATACACCCCACTGAAGAAAGTCAGTTCAATACCTGCCAAAATATCAGTATGAAATGACTACCTAAATTTTCATACACAAGAAATTTTCTCATAGTGTTTATAAGGTTGAAAACATGAAAATTTTATAAGTACTTCTGTATACAGACAGATATACACAGTGACAACAGAAAAACACACACACAAAAAAAAAACAAAAACAAAAATAAACAACAGTTTAATCTAAGGCTCAAAAGAATTATGAAAAACTTTGAAGAAGAGTGTTTTTGACCCAAAGTCCCCAAAATGTAAATAATATCTTATTTCCAAAACGGACATCACTGAGCATCTATAAAACTCATTACCTCTTTCTTTTTTGTGTGTCTGTGAGGAGAATTTCAGCAGATATCACATTCTACAGCAGATATCAGATATCATACTCTATGGCATAATATCACAGATATCACATTCTACAGCAGATATCATACTCAGCAGATATCACAGATATCATACTCTACAGCATAATATCACAGATATCACATTCTACAGCAGATATCACATATATCACATTCTACAACAGATATCATACTCAGCAGATATCACAGACATCACATTCTACAGCAGATATCACATTAAGAATTCTACACAAGCTTTTCTAAAGATGATTCATTTCCCAAACATAAAAATATCCATTCCCTGGCACTCACAGTCACTTGTTCTAGTGTAAAGGTCCACCTCTGACTGAAATTTGGTAAAACCTTATGCTTAACTTTGCCTTTTACTATTTAACAAGAGGCCCATGGGCCACATCGCTCACCTGAGCACACTGGCTAGACTAAGGCACAAATCAGTTCAGTAATGAACGGGGAGGGGGGGTTGAATTTTAAACTACCTGATGATGCTTTCATGTCAATATAACAAATGAATTTGTTGTACTTGAGAAGATTTTAAAAGAATTTTCACATTTCTTCCTTTGTAAAAATTTGATCCCCCATTGTAGCTCCTCCCCATCTCAGGGGTCATCATTTGAACAAATTTGAATCTACATTACCCGAGGATGCTTCCATATCAATAAGACTAACATAGCTTTTCTGTTCTTAAGAAGAAATTTTTTTTTCTATATGTTCTTATGTAAAACTTTCGATCCCCCATTGGGCCCCACCCTACCCCCGGGGGTCATGATTTGAACAAAATTGAATCTACACTACCTGAGGATGCTTCCATATAAATTTGACTCATCATGGCTTTATTGTTCTTGAGAAGAAGATTTTTCCTATATATTTCTATGTAAAACTTTGATCCTTCATTGTGGCCCCGCCCTACCCCCGGGAGCCATGATTTGAACAAAATTGAATCTACACTTCCTGAGGATGCTTCCATATAAATATGACTCTTCATGGCTTTACTGTTCATGAAAAGAAGATTTTTAAAGATTTTTCCTATATATTTCTAAGTAAAATTTGGATCCTCCATTTTGGCCCCGCCCTACCCCCGGGGGTCATCATTTGAACAAACTTGAATCTACACTACCTGAGGATGCTTCCATATAAATATGACTCTTCATGGCTTTACTGTTCTTGAGAAGAAGATTTTTAAAGATTTTTCCTATATATTTCTATGTAAAATTTGGATCCTCCATTGTGGCCCCGCCCTACCCCCGGGGGTCATGATTTGAACAAACTTGAATCTACATTACCTGGGGATGCTTCCATATAAATATGACTCTTCATGGCTTTACTGTTCTTGAGAAGAAGATTTTTAAAGATTTTTCCTATATATTTCTATGTAAAACTTTGATCCTCCAATGTGGCCCCGCCCTACCCCCGGGGGTCATGATTTGAACAAAATTGAATCTACACATCCTGAGGATGCATCCATATAAATATGACTCTTCATGGCTTTACTGTTCTTGAGAAGAAGATTTTTAAAGATTTTTCCTATATATTTCTATGTAAAACTTTGATCCTCCATTGTGGCCCCGCCCTACCCCCGGGGGTCATGATTTGAACAAAATTGAATCTACATTACCTGGGGATGCTTCCATATAAATATGACTCTTCATGGCTTTACTGTTCTTGAGAAGAAGATTTTTAAAGATTTTTCCTATATATTTCTATGTAAAACTTTGATCCTCCAATGTGGCCCCGCCCTACCCCCGGGGGTCATGATTTGAACAAAATTGAATCTACACATCCTGAGGATGCATCCATATAAATATGACTCTTCATGGCTTTACTGTTCTTGAGAAGAAGATTTTTAAAGATTTTTCCTATATATTTCTATGTAAAACTTTGATCCTCCATTGTGGCCCCGCCCTACCCCCGGGGGTCATGATTTGAACAAATTTGAATCTGCACTACCTGGGAATGCTTCCATATAAATATGACTCTTCATGGCTTTACTGTTCTTGAGAAGAAGATTTTTAAAGATTTTTCCTATATATTTCTGTGTAAAACTTTGATCCTCCATTGTGGCCCCGCCCTACCCCCGGGGGTCATGATTTGAACAAAATTGAATCTACACATCCTGAGGATGCATCCATATAAATATGACTCTTCATGGCTTTACTGTTCTTGAGAAGAAGATTTTTAAAGATTTTTCCTATATATTTCTATGTAAAACTTTGATCCTCCATTGTGGCCCCGCCCTACCCCCGGGGGTCATGATTTGAACAAATTTGAATCTACACTACCTGGGAATGCTTCCATATAAATATGACTCTTCATGGCTTTACTGTTCTTGAGAAGAAGATTTTTAAAGATTTTTCCTATATATTTCTGTGTAAAACTTTGATCCTCCATTGTGGCCCCGCCCTACCCCCGGGGGTCATGATTTGAACAAACTTGAATCTACATTACCTGAGGATGCTTCCATATAAATATGACTCTTCATGGCTTTACTGTTCTTGAGAAGAAGATTTTTAAAGATTTTTCCTATATATTTCTGTGTAAAACTTTGATCCTCCATTGTGGCCCCGCCCTACCCCCGGGGGTCATGATTTGAACAAACTTGAATCTACATTACCTGGGGATGCTTCCATATAAATATGACTCTTCATGGCTTTACTGTTCTTGAGAAGAAGATTTTTAAAGATTTTTCCTATATATTTCTATGTAAAACTTTGATCCTCCATTGTGGCCCCGCCCTACCCCCGGGGGTCATGATTTGAACAAATTTGAATCTACACTACCTGGGAATGCTTCCATATAAATATGACTCTTCATGGCTTTACTGTTCTTGAGAAGAAGATTTTTAAAGATTTTTCCTATATATTTCTGTGTAAAACTTTGATCCTCCATTGTGGCCCCACCCTACCTCCGGGGGTCATGATTTGAACAAACTTGAATCTACATTACCTGGGGATGCTTCCATATAAATATGACTCTTCATGGCTTTACTGTTCTTGAGAAGAAGATTTTTAAAGATTTTTCCTATATATTTCTGTGTAAAACTTTGATCCTCCATTGTGGCCCCGCCCTACCCCCGGGGGTCATGATTTGAACAAACTTGAATCTACACTACCTGGGGATGCTTCCATATGAGTTTCATCTTTCCTGGCCCTGTGGTTCTGGAGAAGAAGATTTTTTAAAGATGCTATTCATTTTTCACTAATTCTTAATTATCTCCCCTTGAAAGAGGGCGTGGCCCTTCATTTGAACAAACTTGAATCCCCTTCACCCAAGGATGCTTTGTGGCAAGTTTGGTTGAAATTGGCCCAGTGGTTCTGGAGAAGAAGTCGAAAATGTGAAAAGTTTACAGACAGACGGACAGACGGACAGACGGACTACAGACAAAATGTGATCAGAAAAGCTCACTTGAGCTTTCAGCTCAGGTGAGCTAAAAACGGACAAATCTTTCCTCTCCCAGCAATATCTTTATATAAATAATGCAATATACCTGTTTATTACATTTTCAACAGTGAAATACTATAATATACTTACTGAATAAAAGTGATATTCTGACAATTTGAAAGGATATCAAACAAGAGGCCCATGGGCCACAACGCTCACCTGAATAACTTTGGCCCTGCTGTTCTTCACCAGATGATCTTTTTGTAATACCTATTGTGGCCCCGCCCTACCCACGGGGATCATGATTTTAACAATTTAAAATCTACACTACCCTAGGATGTTTCCATATAAGTTTCAGCTTTACTAGCCAAGAGGTTCTTGAGGAGAAAATTTTTGAAGATTTTTCCTATATATTTCAATGTAATGTAAACCCCAGCATGCTTCCACATAAGTTTCAGTTTGTCTGGCTAAGTGGTTCTTGAGAAGAAGATTTTTAAAGATTTTTTCTATGTATTTCAATGTAAAACTTGGATTCCCTATTGTGGCCCCGCCCTTGCCCCGGGGGTCATGATTTTAACAATTTAAAATCTACACTACCAAAGGATGCTTCAACATAAGTTTCAGCTTTTCTGGCCCAATGGTTCTTGAGAATAAGATTTTTAAAGATTTTTTTCTATATATTTCAATGTAAAACTTGGATTCCCTATTGTGGCCCCGCCCTTCCCCCGGGGGTCATGATTTTTACAATTTAGAATTTACACTACCCCAGCATGCTTCCACATAAGTTTCAGTTTGTCTGGCTAAGTGGTTCTTAAGAAGAAGATTTTTAAAAGATTTTTTCTATGTATTTCAATGTAAAACTTGGATTCCCTATTGTGGCCCCACCCTGCCCCCGGGGGTCATGATTTTAACAATTTAAAATCTACACTACCAAAGGATACTTCAACATAAGTTTCAGCTTTTCTGGCCCAATGGTTCTTGAGAAGAAGATTTTTTAAAGATTTTTTTCTATATATTTCAATGTAAAACTTGGATTCCCTATTGTGGCCCTGCCCTTCCCCCGGGGGTCATGATTTTTACAATTTAGAATCTAAACTACCCCAGGATGCTTCCACATAGGTTTCAGCTTTTCTGGCCCAGTGGTTCTTGAGAAGAAGATTTTTAAAGATTTTTTTCTATATATTTCAATGTAAAACTTGGATTCCCTATTGTGGCCCCGCCCTTGCCCCGGGGGTCATGATTTTAACAATTTAGAATCTACACTACCCCAGAATGTTTCCACATAAGTTTCAGCTTTTCTGGCCCAGTGGTTCTTGAGAAGAAGATTTTTTAATGACCCCACCCTATTTTTGTCTTTTCTTGATTATCTCCCCTTGTAAGGGGGTTTGGCCCTTTATTTTAACAATTTAAACTCCCCTTCACTCAAGGATGCTTTGTACCAAATTTGGTTAAAATTGGCCCAGTGGTTCTTGAGAAGAAGTTGAAAATGTGAAAAGTTTACAGACGGACGGACAGACAGACAGACGGACGGACGGACAGACGGACGGACGGACGACGGACAACGGGTGATCAGAAAAGCTCACTTGAGCTTTCAGCTCAGGTGAGCTAAAAAGTATTCTCACAGAGTGAGAATATCAGAAGTGCAGTAAATCTTACAATGTTCATTTCCTTCATGAAGAGTGTTTTTTAAAAAAATCCTGGCCTGTTATAAGATAGAGTTAATGAGCCATCCTGACAGAGACTAATGGTTATACTGCCAACGTTTTTCCAAATATGTCGTTAAAAATCCATGTTTGTGGATGACGTCTCAACCGCTCAACTATGACGTCACAGTCTATGACAAGTGTAACAAATAGACAGAGGCAAAGGGAAATCTAAGAAAATGTAATAAACAGAAAATTCAATGTTTTGTAGATGAATATGGAATTTATTTCACTTGTGAGACAGGATTTTTTTTTTATATTTTCACTCGTGCTTCGCACTCGAGAAAATAAAAAAAATCCTGTCCCACTCGTGAAATAAATTCCATATTTATCTACAAAACATTGAATATCCTCTATATATGCTATGGCCCACTTAATATAAATAATACAACGTACCTGTATATGCTATGGCCACAGTTATATAAATAATACAATGTACCTGTACATGCTATGGCCACAGTTATATAAATAATACAATGTACCTGTATATGCTATGACCACACTTAATATAAATACAACGTACCTGTACATGCTATGGCCACAGTTATATAAATAATACAATGTACCTGTACATGCTATGGCCACAGTTATATAAATAATACAATGTACCTGTATATGCTATGGCCACACTTAATAGCAATATCTCCTTTGTCCTTAGTAAGTGAAAGGCTCTTTCTGAAATAAACATGATAATTAGCTATTATATATATATAAGTGCACTAATTTACATATCTATTCACATAATAAACAAAACCATTATTTTACCATGGGTTAAAAACACTTAGTTTAGTTCATGGGACAAAATTGAAGAGAGGTAATGTGTGCTTTGAAGATAATTTTTACATATAATGAGTTCTAGCTACATGTAGATGAAAGAAAAATTCACAGAAATAAGCCTTACTTATAGTTTTCAGAGGACTTTCTCGTTCTTTTCTATCACTGCAACACAAAAATAACCTTAATAATATAAAAAGATAATAAATACTTCACTGACCACATCATTTTTACCACTATAAATTGTGAAGACCAGTATCTATAATGTTATACATGCATAAGAGACAATGTGAACATACCATTTCACAATTAAAATGATCCTGTCTATAGGTATTGGGGAAATATTGTTCCTACCTTGGTGATAAATTGACCAGGTTCTCAGTATCCGTGGAAACAGGTTTCCTCAAAATAAGGAAACAGAGGACCCCCAGCAGAGCAGCCCCAGACAGACCAATGAAAAGCTTAGTTCTCTCAGAGTCTGTGATGTCTGTACTGCCCTTTAGCACAAAATAACTGTACATGTTCCCAAACAACAAGCTGTAACAAAAGAAAACAACATTAGTGTTCTATGGTGTAGCGAAAAAAACACAAGTTTTATCAACTTAAAATGCCTTCAGCTAAATTAAAATAGCAGTAAATAATACTGTTCTTTACTTGCAGTTTACATGTACCTAACTTAATCAAAAAAGATAAACTATCGGAAATATATAAGATACATAAAAGACTTGCGTGGAACGCACATAGTACGTACATTTACACAAATGTGACCAGTGCAAAAATTTTTCTCTCCAAGAGGATTCATGATTTTCATATCACTGTTTAGATAAATTAAAATCAATACAAGGAAGTTTTTTTTTTTTTAAAGTTTTATCATTTCTATCTCAGCTGCATTAAAAACAAGATGTGTTTGTGAAACACTGATGCCCCCGTACGGCAGCTTATGGCGAAGGTTTAAGTTTCTTAAATGCAACTCCAGGTCAAGAAATCAAAAATGTTGGTACCCAAAGAAAGGTCTTGACTTGAGGAATATACCTGTGAAATATGAAAGCCCTAGTACAAACTGTTGAAAAGTTATGGCGAAGGTTAAAGTTTTTTAAAAGTGAGTCAAATGGTGCCCAAGGGAAGTTCTTGTCACAAGTGATACACATGGTCGTGAAATGTGAAAGCCCTAGAACCAAACATTCAAATGTTTAGCCAATGTTATAATTTTTTAAAAGTAGGTCAAACTCCAAGGTCAAGGTCAATGCCAAAATTGTTGGTTTTTAAAGAATGGTCTTGTCACACGGAATATACATGTGAAGTATGAAAGCCCTAACACCAACTGTTCAAAAGTTATGGCCAAGGTTAAAGTTTTTTAAAAGTAGGTCAAACTTCAAGGTCAAGGTCAAAGGGTCAGAATTGTTGGTATTTAAAGGAAGGTCTTGTCACAAGGAATGCAAATGTGAAGAATGAAAGCCCTAACACCAACTGTTTAAAAGTTATGGCCAAGGTTAAAGTTTTTCAAAAGTAGGTCAAACTCCAAGGTCAAGGTCAAAGGGTCATAAGGTGTTGGTATCTAAAGGAAGGACTTCTCACAACGAATGCATATGTAAAGTATGAAAACCCTAGCACTAAATTTTTCAAAGTTATGGCCAAGGTTAAATTTTTTCAAAATTGAAGTAGGTCAAACTCCAAGGTCAAAAGGTCAAAGCTGTTGGCATGCAAAGAAAGGTCTTGTCACAAGGAGTACACATGCGAAGTATGAAAGACTTAGTTCAAACTATTCAAAAGTTACATCCAAGGTTGAAGTTTTTTCAACAGTAGGTCAAACTCTAAGGTCAAGGTCAAAGGGTCAAAGATGTTGGTATCCAAAGAAAGGCCTTCTCACAAGGAATACACTTGTGAAGTTTAAAAGCCTAAGCTCCAAGTGTTCAAAAGTTATGGCCAAGGTTATAGCCTCATAAAATTTTGCAAAAGTGGGTCAAACTCTAAGGTCAAGGTCAAAAGGTCAAATATGATGGCACCCAAAGAAAGGTCTTGTCAGAATACACATGTGAAATATGAAAGCCATAGCTTCTACCAATCAAAAGTTATGGGCAAGGTTAAAGTTTTTGCGGACAAACAGACAGACAGACAGACGGACAGGGCAAAAACTGTAGACAGACAGACATATGCCCCTGAATCTTCAATTACGGGGGCATAAAAAGGTAATATGACCCAAATACTTCATATCACATTAGAAATAAATAAATTCTTTACATCCAAAGGACGTTTTTGTATAAGTTTTGCAATTTCTAGCTCAATGACTTGAAAAATTTTTCTAAATGGCCTTAAACAAAGAAGATGGGCAAATAAGGCATGTGAAATGCCTATAGCTTAAAATATACAACAAGCAAACTCAAAGAATTGTGGTCCCTCACTTTCCATGTCTAAGTGGTTGGGATGCAATTATTTATGGCATATTGCAACTGTCTTGTCTATATGTCCTGACTTGTCTGTCCATTATATGAAAAAGATATACTTTTTTATTGAATAAAATTTACAGCAAAGATTAAAGCTTCTCAAAACTGCATCAAACTTCAAGATCAAGGTCATGATGTCAAATATCATATTACAATCCACAGGTCCTGTCACAATTAAGTAATGAACACATGAAAAAAAATGAAAGCCCTGTCTCTTCTAGCTGCAATAATGTAGCCCTCTCCGATTTTTTTTAATCTGATATGTTCAAAAAAAAAAAAAAAAAAAAAATAGGAGAGGGCTACATTATTGCAGCTATGTCTCTACTGGGGCAAAGGTTATGGCAAAATTAACTTTTTTAGGTAGGTCAAACTTCTAGGTCAAGGTCATGAAGTCAAAAAACAAGTCTTTCTGAAAGGTGTTATCATAGGTAATGTACTTGCAAAATAAAAATACCCTATCTTCTCTCATTCAAAAGTTATTACCAATGTAATTTTTTAAAAAGACTCACAGGTAATGCATATGTCAAATATACCGGTAAATGCCCCATCTTCTCTCCTTAAAAGTTATTGGCAATGTTAAAATTTCTGAAAACTATTTCAAACTTCAAGGTCAAAGTCATGGGGTTATAAATCATAGTACATTTAAAAATGTCTTGTCACAGGTAACGCACATGTCAAATAAAAATGACCTATCTTCTCTCCTTAAAAAATTAACAGCAATGTTAATTTTTTTGAAAATTAGGTCAAATTTTCTGGTAAGGTTATGGGGTCAAAAACCATAGCACATTCTGAAATGTCTCGTCAAAGGTTATGTACATTACAAAATATGAATGCCCTATTCTTCTCTCATTCAGAAGTTATGACCAAGGTTAAAATGTTTAAAAGTAGGTCAAACTTCAAGGTTAAGGTCAAGGGGTCAAAAACTATAGTATATTAAAAAGGTCTTGTCACAAGTAATGTATATGTGAAATATGATAGCACCGTCTTTTCTCATACAAAAGTTATTACCAAGTTAAAGTAATGTTAAATTTTTAGAAAAGTAGGCCAAAAAAGTCAAGGTCATGTGGTCAAAAATAATAGTACATGTATATATAGAAAGGTCTTGTCACAGGTAATGTAAACGTGAAATATAATCTTGAGCCCTGTTTCTTCTCATTCTGAAGTTATGACCAAGGTTAAAATATTTGTGACAGACACACAGACAGACTGACAGATGAATGGGATTTAATGTCCCCTCACTTTCACGAAAGTGGGCAAGGGGGAAAAAAATGAAATTTAATTTGTGAACTAAGTATTTAAAGCAAAGTTCTTATTACTGAAAGGTATCAAATTATGACTGTCACAAACACATTTTTTTCCTGCAGAAAATTCTCTTGACAAAAATTATTCTATGGTCAAAAAAAAAGGATTTCTAGGGAATTGAAAATCCTAAGTATGAGAATTTTCTTTGAGACTGACATGCTCACACCTACACCACACAACTCATAACAGGTAATGGCATTTACATCTTGTTTTTGATATGACCCTTGACCATACTTGCCAACCTCCAACATGTAAAAATCTGGTCATGACCAGATTTGGAAAGTAAAAAATCTGGTCATAATGCGTAACAACATTCATGACATATTTACCTTGATTAAATTATATATATGTAAATATTTGTGTATTGAGAATTCTTTTATTAAAAAAAGGCTTTAACTTACAATGACAAAAAATTATCAATATTGATTAAATTTACATGTTAAAAAAGAGCATCGAAGGTTTCATTATTCAGTATTGACCTGAATTAAGAGTACATTTTCTTTTTTAAAAAAAAAGCCTTTTCAGTCTGTACTAAATTTGAAAGTATTTAAATTTTGGTTGTGAAATTATTTTTCCTCTCTTTTAATTTATTTGATTAACAAGTGCAATATGTATTAAATGTACAGTTAGGCCTACACTATCTTTGATCAATTTATTTTAACTAAGAAAGTTGTTTTCCAAGATTCCTTGATATGTACATGATGTTTCTCTTTTTCTCAGTTTAATTTGTTCCTGTTGGCCCTGATAACGATCTAGTTCCATTGGAAGCCATTTTAAATTGACTTCAAACTTTGATTTGTCAAAACAACTCCCAGGTAATTGTTTACACCTGCACTGATAATTTACTGCCAATACTGGTACACAGCCTACTGGACATAGCCATCGGCATTGTTTACGTAGATCCAAGCTTGAGTTGTAACTGGAAGTTAAAAGTGCAACCTGATTTATGAACCAAATCCGGAAATCGGGAGATTTTCGAGTTGTTCGGCAAAAATCGGGTGAAAAGCATGACCCGCCATGTCATAAAAAATAATCGGGTTAAGGGTCGAAAAATCGGGTGTAACCCGACGAAATCGGGTGAGTTGGCAACTATGCCCTTGACTAATTGAACTTCAAATATTTCTCAGAAAGATACGAATGTTGTGTGTCATAAAAGTGCATTTTAAAGGTAGGGTGGGTCATTGCTTCTTTTTTATTTTTATTTTTTATTTTTACGCATAATTTGAAGATAGACTTTTTAAAAAAGGAGGGAAAAAACTGTGTTATAGAATGAAGAAATTATTCTTTTTTGTTTTCTTTGGTGTGTGCATGCTATCTCATAGACAAATGAGTTTAATACTTGTGAGATTGTTCCAAATTGTGGTAATTTTACATAAACTATACATTAATGTAAACTGAAACATCAAAGAAAATTTTTTATAATTGAGATTTAATTTTACACTTTCTTATTTGTTGAACCCTAGGCATTTTTCTTTGTTTATTCACCCATCTTCTTTTCACTTGAGTCTTAATAAATATCTACAATTCTATTGGCAGGTCATTCTTGCTTTATTCATTACCTGCACTGTAAAAGTGCCCAGAATATTCCACTGTTCCGTGACACAGTTTCTGAGTCCGAGTTAATTGTTAGAAAGTTCCCTTGAGCTGTCCACAATACTGAAATTACAAACCATCACTAAATATCAAACATTTCAAATTACAGTAAAACACACTTATAACGAAGTACAGGGACGGACGATTTTGCTTCATTATAAGTCTAATTAGTTATATGCATTCAGTATACAATGTATTTCGAAGTCACAGGGAATGAAGATCACTTTGCTGTAAGTGCCAATTCATTATAAGCATGTTCACTATAAGTGTGTTTTACTGTAGCACATCTTAGTTTCATTTTCATTGTTTAAAAGGGATATTCAGACAAATTCAAAATTAATCTATTCTTCTATTGTCATATCAGAGGCATAAAAATTGCTTATTACATGTATCTACTTATTATTTTTTTAAAAAGTGTCAAAGTTCGCATTAAATCAGGTCCATGTGTTCATGTCACTTACTGGCTGCTCCTATACCAACAAGCACCGATCCTAAATACAAAGCCCAAACCATAGGCTTCAGAAATGACAGGATAAACAGACTACAAATATAAAATCATAGAAAGAATATGTGACAGAGAGATAATTTAAAATGTTGGACATAATGCTATGAAATATATCACTCAACATAAACTTACCCATTACTTTTCATTCTTAATGTTTTCAAGGACAAGAATATCTACCATATTATTTAGCATGTTTCTTTTTAGAACACACTTTTCTTATTTGTGCACACCAAAAAAAATATTATATTTAATACAATAAGAAATATTTAGACAGAATAAATATATAACGATAAATGCATAGTTAATCAATGTCTATTTGTACCTTGTAAAACTAGAACTGTCCAAAAGGGACGAATACCCCCCGCTGGGTTTTTCAGAGAAAGTACCAAATCACTAATGTTTTCTAGATGTGAGAGGTGTTCACAATTTGCTTAAACATTTAGAGTGAAAATTTAATTACTCATTATATTTTTTTTAAAACTAAGGTGCAGTCTAATAAAACATCAATACGAATAATTACAGTGTTTTTATTACATTGAAAAAATAGTTTGCAACTATCTGTCATCTTTGTGAGACATGACACTCTGCAAATTGATTGTTGAAAAAAAATTTATCATAATTAATTATACAAAATCAAATTGATCTTAATACCTTTATATCAAACTCATTTTAAAAATAAAAGGCTGGTTCCAGTAACTATGTATTTCGACAGACATAAATTACAATTAAGAGACTTAGACAACAGAGATCTTTATTTCTTTCTGCCCAATTCCCAGGAGATATAGATAAGACCTGCTTGATCAGAGATGCCCTAACAGCTTCCCACACTGAACTCATTAATTAATCTTTAAGATGTATGTCCACTCATTACTCCCAAGGGACAAATGGATTTACACTATCTGCTGTGTAATGTAAAAACTGTTTTTAATACTTTGTGATTTTTTTTAGTTCTAATGAGTTGTTTTAAGCTGTAGTTCACATTTTTGTACAGATGTTCTAGATTCTATGTCTCAAACCTTAGACATGAACCCGAAATGACTAAGTCAATAAAAATGAAAAAAAAAAAAAAACTGTAAAATGCAGAAAAATTATCAAATAATGTTGAAAATACCAGGTGCACATCTTCATATGGTAAATAATAAGTGTACAAATTTTCATACAAATCTATGCAATAGTCTCTGGGAACAGATCCGGACAAAACCACATAATAAAAATGAAAAAAAACACTTGTAAAATGCAAAAAAATTAACCAATCATGATGAAAATACCAGGTGCACACCTTCATATGGCAAATAATAAGTGTACAAATTTTCAGACAAATCCTTGCAACAGTTTCCAAGAAATGGTCCGGACAAAATCTCATCTACAGACAGACGGACAGACAGACAGACGGACAAGCTGATTCCAATATACGCCCCCTAAACTTCGTTTGCGGGGGGTATAAAAATAATATATAAATTGAATATAAACTTACAAATAGAGGATACTACCAACAAACATAGTGAACTTAGGACCGAGAACTGCTACAATAGGGGGAGCAATCCAATTCGCTGCCGAGAAAACTACGTAGATAATGCTCAAACTGCAAAACAGAGTTAAAGAGAGTTGGTCTTCAGAAAATCAATTTCCTATATCATTTAAAAAACAATGACATAATATACACATAAACACTGACCTTGTGTAACCATCTCCAGAAAAAGTTCCATTTGTATTTTTCTTTTCACTGGTCAACACACTTTGCTGTAAAAAGACTAATTATATATAGCAAAAATACATAAATAAAATGTCATTTAAATTTTTAAAAACACACACTTTTACATCAGCCCAGACCCGTATTCTACCCAAAACAGGATCAACATGATACAGGCCTACCAACATCAAGAAATAAATCATTGTAAGGAAGGGTTCCAGGGGATATCTTGACCTGAGTTAGATTGCAAGTTAATTAGCATAGAAACACCCTGAGCATGCTGAGAGCCAAGATGAACACAGTTGAATTTACACTCATGTAGTAAGGTCACATTAACAAAATTGATTAAAATATTATAAATGTGTTTGTTTATGTCATTTCATGTTTACCTGGCTACCTGGTTGTGTTGTGTTTTGTCCAGTTTGGTAGTGTCATGTGATGTATTATTTAATTATGATAATTAACCAGCCAGGTGATAGTTTTTATTTCATGCAAAGCATGCTCTTCACTTTCCACCCAGACCTTGGTTCTGATAGCAGCAGGTTAGATTTCTCTTACTACCCCAGTAATTTTACTCATTTGGTTGTTTAATTAGTTCTCTTTACTTTTTGACTATGACATGTAAAGTAAATATAAAGTTTATCTAAAGCTCAAGATCTGAATAAGTTAATTACTTTGTTTGATTAAATTAGGCTTAATCAGTTAATAGTTTTAAGTAATAATCTAAATGTTAAAACTACATTTAAGTCTATATGCAGCACCTTGAACTATTTTACATAATTATTTTGATGACTACATGCTGGTTTTTCAAGATTTAATGTAATTTCAGTACATATTAAAAGCATATATTAAAAGCCTCCTGGCACACTGTCTTTGGTAAGAACATGCATTATATATTTTTGATATTATTTTTAATACTTTAAATTGGTTAATGGAGCTATTGGTTATAAAGTATGTTTGACAAATATTTTTGATCTACCAAGCTAAAGCCAAAATCTATTTTTACTTCAATTTTTATGAGTTTTATCTGTAAATTAAGCCCTATGAATCTATCCAGTTAAATTAAGAGTTATTGCCCTTTATTCAGAGTGCAGCGCTGTATATGAATTTATCATGAAGGAAAGTATAATGTTGAACATTATGTTATGCTATTATATTTCATGTGTTATATGATTTTTGTGTTTGAAATTACTTGCTTTGCAGATTTACATGTGTTTATGATATATTTTCAATTTTAGGGCTCATCAAGATCTGACTATATACCATGTATACTAAATAAACAAGTGAACCCCCCAGTGTCTCATTTTAATGTTTTCTGGCCAAGTGGTTCTAGAGATGAAATTTTTTTATGGTCCCATCCAATTTTCCACTGATTCTTCATTATCTCCCGTTGAAAAGGGTGTGACTCTTAGTCATAACTCTTAACAACTGTTTAAACACAGTACCAAATTTCTCGACATATATCATACTTATTTCTCAAATTAGCATTTTTTTTAGGATGTGCAGAAATTGGCACTTTGATGCAGTGACAATTTTAAACTTTGAACTTTGATCTGAAATCAATTCATGAAAAAATCGCTCTTGAAGAAGTTTTGGGGCTATATACAAAAGTTGATTTGTGTCCAAACTTTTACTTCTTGAATGAAATAACAAAGAAGACCAGTTAGATAGATGGTATAGATAGTTTTCCTATGACATATTTTGCCTCGGAGTTATTCCCCTTGGCTGCCATCTTGTAGGTCAAAATAGTGAATCTTCCTCTTTGAAAAACCAATTTTAAACATGCATGCCAGAAATATATGGGAAAAAATATTTACAATATTGAAATTATGAATTAAAAGAAGCTTTAACAAATGTATATTCATAAGAATAACAGTGTTATCTTTACCTCAGTGCCCAGTATAACAAATTGAATTTGGTTGAATTATGAAGGGTTCTGGGGATGTTGACCTACAATATGGCAGCCATGGGGAAATAACTCTTGCTTAAATCACCTCGATGGAAAACCATCTATACATGATAATTGATTGGTAAAAATTCAACACAATGTGAAGTTATCATTTTAGTTAGAATAATCTAACTGTGTCTTGGGACAAGCCCTCACCACAGTTAGAATACGTCCCATATAGTTGCAATGTAGCAAATCGGAGCGGATCCACTCCGAAATGATTTTGAAGAATACAAAAGGAGTTGCACTGAAAATAACTAACAAATTAATCATGACAAACCTTTTTGAGATTGTATATGCCTTTTAACCTAAAAAATTATCCATATAAAGACGAAAATTCAACGCATTTTCTCAACGTTTTTTCTCACTTCGAATTTACATGCCATGTTAACATTCGGAACTTTCTGAATTCTTCATAGTAATTGCACTCAGTTAGAGTTATCTCTCATGTTTGTTTTGCTACATTGGCAATATATGGAACAAATTCTATCATTAAACCGGGTCCATAGGACAATATCATTTTAATGATAGAACATTCTATCTATTATCATCCATGCTTCACCGCACACAAAGTGGTGTACAGTTACTCAATTAATGGAAATATATCTTTTGCTTAAAAGTGTTCAAAAGCAGCAATGTTTAAACCATCTTAGCTTTGGATTGCGTTTTTAAAACTCTATAGTAAAAAAAATTAGTAGTCATATTCCTGCGATTTTTGGTCTATTTTAAAGTAAAAATCAAAATTGTAAAAAGTTGCAATGAAATAGCTAAATAAAGCTTCTTCAAGTAGCTAGAAATAAAGCTACGGTAGGTAATTCAAGCCAAGTAGCTATAATAGATCTAATAATTGTACCAGACCTGCTTAAAACAGCATAAATGTTTCACTTAACCATTAGATATTCTCTATTGAGAAGTTGATAGCTCGTTTTAATACTCCCCCTCAACTTCTCTACGAAAGGCCTAATAAAAGCAGTTCAGAAATTGACTAAATGAAGAACCAAAACCGGGTCCCACTTTTATCCGGATACATTGGCTCAAATGTTTCCGTGTTAAATAATTATTCGGAGAAATAATTTTAGGCTTTTTTAGAGGTCAACCGGGTTCAAACGCAGTTTTGAATGAATAAACGAATCCGGTGACACATATATCGCAAGTAAGTGTTCTACCGTGTAGAATGTTTTTTAAGTCAGCAGAATCGGTATTTTTAATCGCATTTCCACGGCACGTCGATTTACCCAAATGGACCCAAATGGAACCCAAATGGACACAAATGGACCCAAATGGAAACACAAATGGACCCAAATGGAAATCAAACGGACCCAAATGGAAACCGAATGGAATATTAAATATATATCATCCTATTATCAAGTTGACACTTATTTAAAATGATGAAAATAATGAACTTACAAATGGGAGAATATTAATTATTCATTTCTAATATTGTATTTTAAAATACGAATTAATTTTCTATAGGATTCTATACATCGGCAAAATTATTGGGGGGGGGGGGTGTAGTGCGCCTCTCTCGTGCCCCCCCCCCTCCCCCCGGTTCCTTCAGCCATGAAATCTATAAACTATAATATGAAATACTTCCATTTTGTATTCAATGATATTGTTGTATATTTCTATATAATTTGTACAATTATTCTTACCAAGGGTAAGATGGCCTCAAACCCGAAAACACCAGACAGGACGGAGATACGTCTGCACTCTTCAGTGTCCGATAAAGGAAAGGCCCTAAAAATAGGTGATCTGTAATCACATAGACTACAGACCAACCCCGAACCCGATATAAATAAACGTATTTATACTACAATATGCAAAAGTTATTTCAAATAGAAAAAAAAATAATTCGTATTTTAAAATACAATATTAGAAATGAATAATTAATATTTTCCATTTGCAAGTTTATTATTTTCATCATTTTAAATAAGTAACAACTTGAGAATACGATAATATATATTTAATATTCCATTTGGGTCCATTTGATTTCCATTTGGGTCCATTTGTGTTTCCATTTGGGTTCCATTTGGGTCCATTTGGTTCCATTTGTGTCCATTTGGGTTCCATTTGGGTCCATTTGGGTAAATCGACGCACCCCATTTCCATAGCAAAAAAACATCTGTGAATCCAAAATATGTCTATGATAATGCATCAATCCTAAAATACCGATCGAAGTGGGACCCGGTTTTGGTTCTTCATTTAGTCAATTTCTGAACTGCTTTTATTAGGCCTTTCGTAGAGAAGTTGAGAGGGAGTATCAAAATGAGCCATCAACTTCTCAATAGAGAATAAACCATTAGATAGAACGTTCTATCGTTAAAATGATATTGTCCTACGGACCCGGTATAACGTGAGGGCTCGTCCCGAGACACAGTAAGATTATTCTAACTACTTAACCATATGTAGACTAGTCTAGTTTCAGGTGGTTGCAGAAAAATAATTTGTTACTTCGCTTTTTTTCTCATCTTCTGACAACTTTGTCAAAACAGTAAAAAAATAATGTTTCCTTTTAAAAACCACACCATAACAAAATCTGTGACCAAAAGACCTTCGGTGATTATCTTGTGGTAGCATTGCAAATGTAAACGACTCAAACAATTAAAATCAAGAAGACAATTACAGTTACCTCAGCCATAGATGCTGTTTGGAAGGCGGTAAATAACAGCATAAACGCAACACCTAAAACAATAATATTGTACAGGCGAACATCGAAAATCTTTGCTTCCGCCATTTTTGTTTACATCGATCTGTCACATGATCGGAAAATAATAAAACAAAGAACCAACAAATCCCGAATCACGTGCTTCTAATTTAGATCATGTGAATACTTCAATAAAAGCATTTTAAAAATGGCCTTTTTTTTTCTTAAAATCTCCTTTCATTTGTGTATATGTTAAAGCAAGCAACATCTGATTTTTGGCTGCTAATGATGTTGTAAAAAAAAAAAAAAAACAAAACTACCGAAAAAAACATCACAGGAAAAAAAAGAAGAAGAATTCACAAAATCTGGTATCGTGACCAGTGGTCATCAATAAGGTAATATTACCTTTAACGGAAATTAATGCTTATACAGGTCTCATTATTATTTTTGAAAAATTTGAACTCCCATCTTTTTTTTTTTTTTTTAGTATTTTTTTTTTAGGAAAACTTTTTACAGGCCTTCTACAGAAACGCTTAGACAATTATCTTGAGTCAAATAACCTACTAAGTCAATATCAATCTGGATTTAGAAAAGGTCATAGGACCACTGACAATATATTTGTACTAAAAACACTTGTAAACAAATATCTTTATACAAAGAAACAGAATTTATATGTCTGCTTTGTAGATTTTTCAAAAGCATTTGATACTGTGTGGAGATCTGCACTTTTATACAAATTGAATAAAAAGGGTATTGGTGGTAACTTTCTCAAACTTTTGACAGACATGTATACAAATACATACTATTCTTGTAAAAAGGACAATCAAATGAGTGAAAAATTTAAAGCCAATAGAGGAGTCAAACAAGGTGATAATTTAAGTCCAACACTTTTCAATATCTTTGTTGATGATTTTGTGAATTATCTTAAAAATGTAAGCACATATCCTGCATATCTAGATACTATGCCAATAAATCATATGTTTTTTGCTGATGATCTTGTCCTTGTATCAGAATCAGAAGTTGGTCTACAAAACTGTATAGATGTTTTAGGAAAATATTGTTCAGACTGGAAATTGTGTGTTAATATGGATAAAACAGATGTTATGATTTTTTCAAGAAAAACAGATGATGAGACATCATTTAGATTTTATTACAATCACCAAATGATTAACATAACGAATGAATATAAATATTTGGGTGTTGTGTTCAGATCTGATGGAAAAATGAAATTTGCAGCTGAACAACTATCAGAACATGCTAGGAAAGCATATTATGCTATTAAATCAAATTTTCCTGCAAACATTAATTTTTCAGCTGAAATTATGTTAAAATTATACCAGTCAATGATAATACCAAATATTACATATGGATCTGAAGTATGGATAACTGACTTCAAATGTGATTTAATGTCTTCAGACCAATTTCCTTTTGAAAAAACACAACACTTAATATTTAAAGACATACTAGGGGTACATAGAAAGGCATCAAATCTTGCTGTTTTATGTGAATTGGGTCATTTTCCTTTGTACTATTTATGTTATGAATATATGTTTAAATATTTTAAGAGACTTAAGGAAATGGAAAACAAACATGATTATAATAATTATTTAGTGATTTCTGCATTTAAAGAAGACAAAAAACTTGTATCTAGAATATCTTGGCAAAGAAAACTGTCTTCATTACTACAAAAATTAAATATCACTTCTTTGGATATTTCTCACACAACCTTGAAAAACAAATTACAAGAGCATTACCAAAACAAGATACATGAACAACTGAAAAATATAAGCAAATCAAACTCTGGAAAGTTAGCTTTTTATAGTAAAATTGTAATTCAAAATGAATACAAATTGCAAAGTTATTTAAAGCTGCCTTTAAAGAAAAGTTTTAGATCTGTATTAACAAAATTAAGGATCAGTGCCCATCCATTGTATATTGAAACGGGCAGATACTGTAAACCCCCTATTCCTAGAGAAAAACGTTTATGCTATTCATGTAAATTATTTATTGAAGATGAAAAACATTTTGTTCTATACTGTTCAAAGTATGACCAATTTAGATGCAATTATACTGATATATTTAATGTAAACACATATACTAGTGATAATCCCATTAGAAAAATTGTCAATCCTACAAATATTACAACTGCTAGAAGGATGTGTTGTTTTTTGAAAAAGTGCTTTGACACCAGAAAAGAAAGTCAGCAATGAATACTTAGAAATATGTGAATATACTCTACATTATTTTGTTCAACTCACATTTGTCACTTTGTATATGTATGTATTCTTGTTAATTCGTTTTTTTTATGTCATGACTGTATGCCGACATGGTAATTGTCAATAAAGTGAATTGAATTATTGAATTTAGTTTCACAGTGACTTTTTTCGTCTGTGAAGTTTGGGGAAATTAGCCTGGTAGGATAGCTACTCGCTTTTTCTACTGTAATGCTAAATTGGCAAAGAGAAACAATTCCGATTAAAGTTGAACGATGTTTATTGTAAAGTCAGCAGATAGAAAGTGAATTTTATAAAAGTTGTTACACAAAAAAAATTATAATAAACAGGTACAAGTAATTATCGAATAAACAATGTCAGATAAGTAAATAACTTTTGAAACAACCTGTAGCGAAACCCGCTAAGAGAAGGTACGATTACTAAACAACAAATAAAGATCGATCGGTTACGTGAAATCAGTCATGCATAGCGCTTACCAAAGTTTTTACAGTTACAGAAGTTAAAAACCAAAAGTAGACAATAAAATCAGAAAACTTACAAACATTTAACTCCAAAGACAATGTTTACAAAACTTCGGGAAAATTTAGTTACCTTCTCTGACTAGAGAGTTCCGAACAGGGAACATAATTCATAAGCGGTAAAATTAAATTGCCAAAAATTTATAAAAATAGAAAAATTCCAAAAACACTATTTCGTGAGTAATTCAACAAAGAAATGATTGCTAGTAATGTAAATAAGATTGTTATAGTTAGTTTTAAATTCTATGAATTCTAAAACTTTAATGTAACATTAGTATAGAGTATAGAACGGTAAAACATGAATTTTTATATAGAACGAATCTGGTCAAACATCACCGCGAATACCGTTAACGACCAAGATTAGGTTACAGACAGTGCTATAGGGGTAGCTAGATCAGCATGCAATGTGTCTTCTTTTTTTTTTAATGATAAAACAAACTCTATAAGTCAAAACTAAACATATTTCATTTTTCAAATAAAGTTCTACAATTTTTTTATATGTTTTCAGAATTCAGTCGGACAAGTAATATTTCTTATCAATTTGTCCGATGGGCAAGTATGTATTTTAGTAAATATTGAGCCCTGACCTAGCCCCTCCCTAAGAGAGAGAGAGAGAGGAAGAGAAGACTGTCTCACACAGGCGCTGACTAGCCTGACGTACATCCCCGCCAGTACCTAAACTCCGTCACCATAAGCGGAGAACAAGTCGTGTTACTATCTGAATTATTATTATTTTTTTTATTTGTTTCTTGCTTGCGGTGATATATTTGGGACACAGATTTTTCTTTTCAAAGATACTAGGCAAAAATTATCTCGTGCGCACGAGATGATGTCGTGCGCACGACATAATGTTTCGTGCGCAGGAGAAAATATGTCGTGGGCACGACATATTATCTTGTGCAAAACATATTTTCTCGTGCGCAAGACGTAATGTAACAGGTTTTGGGTTATCGAAGAAGAATAACAGCCTGATGAAGGTTCTATTGACATGACTTTATTGCCAGATAAATGAGAAAACCCTGCAATATATTAACAATATAACAAGTCAAGAAGTGTAAATATTTAAGCATAAAAATACAATGATTTTCAAGAGAGATAATTCATTACACATAAAATATACATACATTTCTCCGCGATTAAAGAACAATCAATTCCCATCATAAAACTTTACAATAATTATCATCATAATGTATTTAAACATTATATATTACTGAATAATCATAAAATCATTATATGCATACCATTCTATGGGAACAGGTGTGTAACTGCAAGCAATAATGCTGCATATATACAATATGTATACAGTCTCAGAGGGATCTGTAAATTAATTACACAATATTACACACCAGATCATAAAAATATGTTACCTTAAAAATATATTTATAACGATGAGATCTTTCTATTTACATCATACTTAAAAATATCATTCTCAATGATCTCATTTACTCAGGGAAAGTGCTTGGGAAATATATTAAATATGCAAAATTACAGATTGGACATTTAATTGAAATATTAGAAACATATTAATATTAGCCACTAGCTGAGTTTAGGTAATCTAGAAGATCATTTATAAAAATTTTAAATAAATTGGGACTAAGATTGTCACCCTGCTTCACACACAAAGTTATTGGGGAAAAGTTTGTAATCTTATTACCGACGCGGACACAGGATTTGCTTGATGTATCAGTGTTTGAAACTCACGATAAAATTAGCTAGACATGCAGGGCTGACTGCTAGTGAAAGTTGTCAGCCCTGCCACATACATACTTTTCACTACTAGATAAAAAAATTTGTTCCCACTCCAATTCTGAGGAGTTTAATTTTGATTTCTGTGTGGATAACAGTATCAAAGGCTTTTAGAAAGTCAACAAAGCAGGCAAACACTCTACCATCTTTAGTACTACAATACTTATCAATAATTGTCTTAAGTATATACATATATATACACACATTAGTATTTTGATTTTCTCTCTTTCTTTGAGTTTCTAGAGATTGCCTCTTAAATACCGATTTACATCAATTGTCCTAGTGGCAGGATTCTTGAAAGGAGGGGGGGGGTAAAGGCCTGGGGGACCTATAATAAATGCTAACAACAAGAAATTGATTTCTTAGTCTAAATCCAAACAAAACGGATCAGATATAGGAAAATAATCTTCAAATTGAAGTACTATATTGCTTGTAGCAGGACCTAAATACTACACTATATAGAACTTTATTGTATATAGTACGTCCCTGCTTCAGTGTAGTTCTTACTTCAGATTGGGGGCTGGGGTTATTAATTATCGTGTCTAAAAACTATCCGTAGGTCCTACCAATCGCAACATCACTCGGCCTTTTCCATAAGACCATTCCACGTTTTTTCTATGATATTTAGCGTCCGCGTGCGCCTTGCATGGTCTTTGACACCCAATAACCATGATAACAGGGAAAAAACCCAAACAGAATCAGGAGTCCTGAAAGTGATTATTCTGGTCGAATTCTGATAATTCTGTAATTTTCTCTGCTGATCTGTCTACAATATGTCATATTAGGTATATTTTAAGCATTTAATACCTTGATTTTGCTAAAGAATGGATCTTTTTACGAGAAAAATATATAATTGAAATCAACTTTAAAGTCTGTGTATCATTTTTTGACTTGTGTGTTTTTTGCGAATAAGTAGGTAGGTTTTTGAAAGATGGGTGGGACGCTAAACAGAGAAAAAAAAACATGGAATGGTCTACAAAACAAAACAAAACAAAAAAACCAAACTCTGTAGGTGAGCTAAAATTCTTTCAAGCATAATGTTGACACAGATTTACAGACGCATGCGCAGGTCAGAAGCACGCTGGTTGGAGAAAGGGAGTCGCCATTTTACGCTAAGAAAACGTTTCAAAAATGAGTTACGGAAGAGGCCCACCAGAAATTGATGGCATGACCTCATTGAAGGTTGACAATTTGACATACAGAACAACACCAGAAGATTTGCGACGGGCATTTGACAAATATGGAGATGTAGGTGATGTATACATTCCGCGGGACCGATTCACAAGAGAAAGCAGGGGATTTGCCTTTGTCAGATTCTATGACAAAAGGGATGCCGAGGATGCCCTGGACTCTATGGATGGCGCAATCATGGACGGCCGAGAATTGAGGGTGCAGATGGCGAGGTATGGACGCCCAAGTGAACCGTACAGACGGGGACCACCAAGACGCAGTAGTGGTTACAGATCAAGATACAGGTAGGCCTACAACAATGAACATGCCGTGCTCGTTCTATCTTACTGTGAGTTATATTAATGTTTAATTTTGTGTATGTCGAATGTTTTTATTGTTATCATCTTCAACAGTTCAAATGAACACATTAATGTTGAGGGAAAGTTGAACTTAGGCTGACGAATAAAGTCCCAATGCATTGAATACCCCCCCCCCCCCCCCCCCAAATAAACATTGTTTCAAATGTTATACCTTGTTTCACAGGTCAAGATCTAGATCACGTTCCAGATCTAGACGGAGATCCAGTTCTCGATCCAGGCGCAGGAACAGGCGTTCTAGAAGCAGATCATACAGTAGATCAAGATCCAGAAGCAGGAGCAACAGCAAAAGCCCAAGCAGAAGTCGATCACGAAGCAAGTCAGGATCCCGCTCTCCAGACAGAAATGATGAAGGCCAGCGGGAGGAAGATTGAGGACCAGCATTGTAAAACACGAAAACTTTACATCTTGACTGAGACTTGTGCAGTTTCTCTTTCTAGATACTCCTGTGCAAAAGGTTAATACTTGCCACTGAATCATTTGCACTAAACTTGTCAGACTTGTCCTCATCATTTCATTTGAATAAGTGGCAAAAATGGTATCATTTATTTAGTGTTGAACATTGGACTATGAAATGTTTTATGGATCATTTACAATTTTAACTTTTCATTTCATGTCATGTAAATAAATGTCTATTTTGATGGTTTTAA